CACTTGCTGTCACACATTCAAGTCGAGACGTCGAGAAGGATTGCGATCGCCAAGAGACAAATGATCGCTTAATTTGGTTAAAAACAACGGAGCCGAGACAAGGCTTCAAGCCGAAAGAGACGACGCACACCAGTCACCAGCTGCTAGTACGCAGGTGATGGAGTTGGCATTGTGGACAAGGGGCGCAGCGCGAGTCTAGGGGCCCTGATGCCCGGTAATGAGGCGAAACTCAGCACAAAAGCGAGAAACAACATTTGGCCGAACGTTGGCGCGCATGCACGCCACACAACGACGGTGGAGGTACACCGCGCGTTGCTCTCACTGACCAGCAGCACAGGGAAGCGGGAAGGGACGCCGGTGGACGGAAACAAGATCAAGAACCTTACCATGCAGACGTTTCGGCGCAAGAGTCGTGGTAGTACATGAAGCAGCACCACGGAATGCTGCTTTGATAAGCGAAAGACGAGCACTCAGCATCGTGTTCAAGACAAGCGTACGGTATGAAAGAAACGGCAACTGAACCTGCTGTCTGCTGTATTTTTGTTGAAATCATGTCGTTCTTTCGTTTGTCCACTCGCTCCTTCCATCACTCAGACCCCGTTGTAATTTTTTTTTGTTTTTGATTCTCTTAAATTTTTTGCAAACCAGTCTATTCCCTTGATTGTTGGAAGCGCGAAATGATGAGCGGGATGGGCGGCCTCGAGGCGTCCGTTCCAGCACTGCATCCTCAGCACCAGCATCAGCAGCATCAGCAGCGTTCCAGCAACGCGAGTTCCAACTCCAGCCACCCACGCGAGTTCCCCATTGTCACTGATTCAGGCACCATCGAAGGGCCGGTCGAGAAGTGGACCAACTACGGTAACACAGCTTTGAGCGCTTGTCGGCTCTTGCGCGTCAGCACTATTGTTACTTTTTTTTTTTTTTTTTTTTTTTTGAAACTGACAATCTTCTTGGTTGTGTGTGCGCAATGTTGCGTTCTTTGCTCTCTGTATTCCTTGTGTGTTTGTGATGAATTGATCATAGTGACTGTGTGGCAGGGTCGATGGCTGGTGCTCGACCCCGAGGAAGGCACGCTCGATTATTACGTTGGAAAGAAGAAGGTAAGAAATGTGCACATCATTCCCGCTGCTGCTGCTCGACTCTGTCCCCAAACCAGGGATAAGAGAGGCGACATAGGATTCAGGAAGCATCAAGATTTACACAAACCAAACCAAAACATGAAAAATAAGAACACCTCGAATGGAAGAGCCGATCAAAAAGCGCGCACACAAAATCAACCCGAAACGCTTTGTGCCACGCCCGACCTTGGAACTCAGATTGACTTGAGAGTCGAGTCTCAAGTCCACCCGAAAAGGGAAAAAGGGAAACAAAAAGAAGGAAGAACGGGTGGCGAGATCTTTCATTGATCTGAGGGAATGACTTGTCCGCAAATCCTGCTTGAATTACTAACACTCTCTCCCCTCTCTCTGAACAGCAAGGAACAGCCAAGGCAGGTCTGCATCTCAAGCTCGCCACAATTATTCTGGACGAGTCCAGCGACGACCAATTCATGGTGACTGCTCCAGGCGTGCGCACGTTTCATTTGCGTGCCAGAGACACCAAGGAACGTGCACGCTGGCATCACGTACTCATGAAGGTCCAGATTGACATTCAGGCACGCTCTCGCCTGAGTCACCAGCTGCACATCCAACAGGCCCACAAAGCGCACCCGAACGCTGCCGCTGCTGCTGCTGACTCCAACGCTACTGTGGCTGGGTCTGCAGGTCAACCCGCATCTGCATTGGATGCATCGGCCTCGTCGTCTTCCGGGTCGGCAACCGTCTCGGCCATCGCTGGCGTGCAGCAGACGCGTGCGTTGGCGTCTGCAATTGCCAAAGCCTCCGAGGCTCGTTCTTACTCGCATGTCATGCAACAGCAGGTGGACTCGCTCTTGGAAATTCTTGGTGCATCCGCCTCCGAGGAAGCTCGGGAGACTGCGTTGTTGGTGAAGGCTTCTGCGCACGCCATGATCAAAAGCCTCGATTACGCCGTGCACGCGGTTGAGGTGGCGGCGGGCAAGGCTCCGACTCCGTTGCGATCGTTGTCCATTCCGCCCTCGCCGCAGCCTGTCACTCACGCAGAAGCAACGACTCGGCGAGACAGCACTTCTTCCGGCCCGTTGAAAAAGCCGACACTGGCGAGGTCGATTTCGTCAGAGTCGGTGGACAGCGATACTTCATTCTACGATGCGCAGTCAGACCTTGTGTCGGGTGATGATTCAACCACTCTCACTGCGACCAGCACCGGAGAGCCGTCGGTTCCCGAAATCAGCAAGCCTGGCGAAGAACAGGAGACGACGGAGGCCGATCTTGGCGCGGATGGCTACAACAGCGATCAAGACGAATCCCAAGCCATTCTGGACTCTGACGACGAGGAAGAGGACTCTGAAGATGCAGACAAGAGCGTACTGATGCACATACTGTCGCAGCTGCGCATCGGCATGGACCTCACCAAAGTCGTGCTGCCCACGTTCATCCTCGAGAAGCGGTCGCTCTTGGAGATGTACGCCGACTTTATGGCTCATCCGGATATTTTTGTTGGGTATGTTCTTTCTCGTTTGGTTTTGAGCATGACTTGCATGAACTGCCTCTCACTTGATGGTTTTTGTTTTCCTTGTTTTTTTTTTTTTCTTTCTTGTTTTTCTTGTTTTTCTTGTTTGTGTTATTTTTGGTTTTCGGGTCAACTTGTGATTGTTGATCTTCTCACAGAGTCGCGCAACTACCGGATCCTCGCACTCGGTTTATGGAAGTTCTGCGCTGGTATCTCTCGGCTTTCCATGTGGGACGAAAGGTTTGTCATCACCTCACTTCTGTTGCTTGGCGCTCTTCGACTGTCGATTTATTTTTCCCTTCCGTTTTGTTTTTGATCCAGAGTTCCGTGGCCAAGAAGCCCTACAACCCGATTCTTGGAGAGACCTTCCGCTGTCAGTACATCACGCCGAACGGCGGGCCTCTAAACTTTGTGGCCGAGCAGATCAGCCATCACCCACCAGGTCAGTGTGCTTTGTGCGTTGCTTGTTCAACCTCTCTCTCTCTCTCTCTCTCCCCCCTAATATTTCGGCAACGTCTATCTTCTATTGCGCAGTCTCTGCATTCTACGCCGAATGCCCCAACACCAAAATTCGTCTTGACGCTCACATCTGGACCAAGTCCAAGTTCCTCGGCTTGTCGGTTGGCGTCATCAACGTGGGGGAGGCCCGCATTGCCCTTCAACCGACCGCGGCCAATCAAATTCCCGGAACTCAGCCTGAAGTCTACGTTCTCACATTCCCGAGCGCGTACGCGCGTTCCATTCTGAGCATTCCGTGGGTGGAGCTTGCCAGCAAGACCACTCTGACGTGCGCCCGAACTGGCTTCTCGGCCACCATCGATTTCCATGCCAAGGCAAGCACGCCGAACGAACCTTGGATGCCTATGATTGTTGCACGCAAAAAGGAAAGCACGTCTGACGTCGGGTTTGTGTGTTTTGCACTTCTTGAACAGCCAACCTTCGGTGGCAAGCCGCACCAAGTTTCGGCCGAAGTCATGCACGTCTCGTCGCCGAAGCCGATCATCAAGCTCAGTGGCGAGTGGAATGGCGTCATTTCGAGCAAAAATATGGCCACAGGGGTGCGTAGCCAGGGCGAGAGTCGGCCTTTGAAGAGAGAACAACAAACTAACTGTTCTGCAAACTCATTCTCCCGTTTTTGGTTGTTCTGGTCCCGTTTATTCAGCAAACATCCGTCTTCCTCAACACCAAGGTCATGAGCATCATCAAGAAGCAAGTGACACCAGTTTCCAGCCAGAACGAGTTTGAGTCACGCCGGTATGTACTTGTGTGTGTTTTTTTTTGGCTCAGAGTGCTCTAGCCCTTGCTTGTTCCCTTTCCAGGACTTACTCTTCTCTGTCTCTCGTGCCTGGCATGGACAGATTGTGGAAAGATGTGACGGAAGCGCTCAAGAGCCGCCAGGTCGATGCAGCAACTGTCGCGAAGGCAAAGTTGGAAGATCGGCAGCGAGCAGAGGCCAAGGAACGCAAAGAGCGCGGAGTTGAATGGCGCACCAAACTCTTCGAACGTCACGACGACGGCGCTTGGCGGTATAATGGTTCGGGTGGGTCTGTTTACGCGTAAACAACACGCTTTTGAAACTCGGATCTGTTGACAGTATTCCACCCAACAAGGTATAAGCCGTTTCTCCAGTCAACTGGAAGAGAAGGGGGGTTCGGTTGTATTACATACAGGAGTTTTCTGTACCATTCATTCTTTCGCTCATCAACACACACACACACATCCAATACACAATTCTTCAAATTTTTTAGCATTTCATCAAACAAAAGGAGCGGCTTCTCAAAGCTTGATGGCGCCTCGAGCGCTTTTGCGCAGGCGAACCAACGTCGGCGTAACTTCTATGACCTCTCCCTCGCTGACATACGAAATCATTTCCTCCAGAGAGAAGGCGCGCGGAGGTGTAAGGATGACGTTCTCATCCTTGACCTTGGAGCGAACGTTGGTGGATTTCTTGGCACGAGTGGGATTGACCTCCAGATCAAGGGCACGGGAGCTCTCTCCGACAACCTGGCCTTCGTACGTCACGTCGCCGGGCGAGATAAACATCGTTCCACGTTCCTGGAGATCGTTCAAAGCGTACGCGGTGCATTTGCCGCCAGCCATGGAAACAAGCTTGCCGTTGCGTGGGCCGACCTGCACCTTGGTGTTGAAAGGTCTGTACGAGTGGAAGATCGAGTTCATAACAGCAGTGCCGCGCGTATCGGTCTTGATCTCGCTTGAATAGCCGAGCAGACCGCGGCTGGGTGCGATAAAGTTGAGTCGCACCTTGCTGCCGATATCCTTGAAAGAGACCATTTCGCCACCGCGCAGTTGCACCTTGTCAATCACAATACCCGAGAATTCCGAATCCACATCGATCGTCAAATCCTCGACAGGCTCATAGCGCTTGCCCTCCTCCTGGCGGAAGAGCACGCGCGGGGGCGAGATGGACAGCTCAAAGCCTTCGCGTCGCATCGTTTCAATCAGGATGCCGAGCTGCAGCTCGCCACGGCCGTGCACCTCCACAGACTCTCCCATGATGCGAAGGGCGATCGCAACATTGTTTTCGGCCTCACGCACAAGTCGCTCTCGGATGTGGGTGGACGTGAGCAACTTGCCCTCCTGGCCGCCAAGCGGCGAATCGTTCACGCTAAAGGTCATGGCAATGGTCGGGGGATCAAGCGGAAGGGCGGGAATGGCCGCGGTGACGCCAACGTGGCAGATGGTGTCGTTCACGTTGCCACGAAGACCCGCGACCGAGACAATGTCTCCCGCAATGGCCTCGGCCAGGTCGTGGCGGACAAGACCGTCGCGCATGCAGAAGATCTTGGTGATGCGGCCCTCCTCGGCAACGGTGGCAGCCGCCGCCTGTGCAGCCGCCTCCGCAGAGCTGGTGGATGCTTCTGGATGCAAGACTTGAACGCGGTCGCCGACACGCACGGTGCCCGAGTAGAGCTTGCCACGCATGACGCGACCCACGAAATTGTCGTACTCGATGTTGGACACGAGCATTGTGAACGGATCCGTGACAGGGTTGACCTTTGGTGATGCGACGGCCTCCAAGATGGTGTCCAACAGCGGGGTCATGCCAGGCTCGCGCGAATCAGAGAGGTTTTTGATGGCCCAGCCCTCTCGCGACGAAGCGTACAGCAGCGGGTATTCGAGTTGTGTGTTGCTGGCGTCGAGCATCATGAACAGCTCCATGATTTCATTCTGAACCTCGTCATCCTGCAAGCGAGCAGAATCGCGGTCCACCTTGTTCACGACAACAATCGCATTCAAGTTGTTCTTGAGGGCCTTCATGAGCACAAACTTGGTTTGTGACATGGGGCCTTCTGTCGCGTCGACGACCAGCACGACAGCTGTTCGCACGAAAAACAAAACAAAAAAAAAAACAAACAAGCAAACAAAACAAACAACCATAGAAAGTTAGCCAAAAACACATAATAACACGGACCGCAACAGGAGACACAACTTCCATGGCCTAAAACTCACTGTCGACCATGCTCAAGACACGCTCGACTTCGCCTCCGAAATCCTGATGGCCAGGAGTGTCGACAATGTTGAAAGTGTGGCCCTTCCACTCGACGCGCGTCACCTTGGACATGATGGTGATACCACGCTCCTTTTCCAGCGCATTATGATCCATGACACGATCAGCACTGACGTTGTTGCCTGTACTTGTCCAAGGGCACAAACAAAGGGTTTGCGTTAGTTCCGAAAAAACAACGACAACAACAACAACAAAAAAAACAAGGAGCTTGTCGACACAAACGCAAAATGAATACATACCGGCTTGCTTGATCAGTTTGTCCACGAGCGTCGTCTTGCCGTGATCGACGTGAGCGACGATCGCGACATTTCGAAACCGGCGCGAGGATAGCTCGGAGGTCGCCGCGTCTGTGCAAAGCAGAGTTTACCGGCAAACGCCAAAAATGGGGTGAAGCAAGGTGAGTTGTACATGGAACCATTTTTTCAATGAAGGTGCTTTCAGCATCATGCTAGTGAGATCTAGCAATGATCGTCCTGGGTGTGTGTGTGGGTGTGTGTGTGGGAAGACGGAGGTTTGACTTGGACGCTGGATCAGTGCCCAATGCTAGAGCAATAGTCGAAGGGTCAAAAAAGCACATGGAACCACGCGCGTGTGAAAACCGTGCGAACAGGGGGAGGAGGCGACGACTTCCTCGGACGCTACTCTACGATGAATGCAAAGCACCCCATCACGATTGGTCCCTCACCAGCAGCAGTGGCGGTGGTCGCAGCAGCAGGAGCAGCAGCAGCGGCGGCGGAACGGACCGGTGCCGACAGCGAAGACATTCGCCTGACCGATTGCACCGAGCAGCCAGCACTTGCCCGCGCACGCCGAGGCACAGCAGCAGCAGCAGCAGCAGCGGCAACACAGGCAGCAGCAGCAGCAGCAGCGGCAACACAGGCAGCAGCAGTCGTCGTCGTGGGAGTGGCGACACAGCCAGAGGCAGAGACAGCGACCGAGGCAGTCGCGGCAAGGGAACTGTAGCGATGCTGTGCTCGCAATGCCAGTTTCAATGCAACGCTCCGACCCAGCAACATGACTTGAGATGACAGATTTAGGGGACTGGACAAGAATCAATCTATGGGAGAATTGTAACACGCAAACAATACGACGAGGGTGGTGCATTTGCACCGTTTTCTCTCAGCGAAAGGCTCTCAGTCGCTCAGTCGCTCAGTCCAATTCCTACCCTCACCAAAAAACAAACAAACCACAACCATGTCTGCTTCGAAATCGCCGCTGGTCATGATTCCCGGCCCCACTGAGCTGGATGCGTCGGTGCTTGAGGCACTGGGCGAGCCGTCGATGGCGCACGCTGATCCGCGCTTGATTGAGCACTTTGGCCGCTCGCTCGAGCTCATGCGCGACGTCTTCCAGTGCAAGGCCGGCCAGCCGCTCATCCTCACGGCCTCAGGCACCATTGGCTGGGACGTCATTGCCGCCAATCTCGTCGAACCTGGCCAGCGCGCCCTCGTCGTCACCAACGGCTACTTTGGCGACCGCTTCCGCGACTGGTAAAGCAAAAGTGCTTAAGAACTCTCAGAAAATCTCAGATTCCGAGACCTCCTTGCACGATGAGAACAAGCGTGCGAAATCCTTGGGTTCTTTTAAACTGATGCATGTATGGATGTATGGGTGTGTGTGCTTGTTGTGTGTCGGATTGCTTCAGCTTGGAGGCGTACGGAGTGGCCACGACGGCGCTCACCTCGCAGCCTGGCACTGCGCCGACGGTCGACGAGATCACCGCTGCCCTGTCTGCTGCGGGCTCGTCGCACTTCAGCCTGGTGACGCTGACGCATGTGGACACCTCCAGCGGCGTGCTGACGGACATCAAGGCGTGTGCCGCGGCCATTCGCGCTGCTCAGCCCAACGCGCTGATTGCTGTCGACGGCGTCTGCTCCATTGGTGGCGAGGAGCTCCGCATGGACGAGTGGGGCGTCGACGTTGCATTCACCGCGTCACAGAAGGCCATCGGATGCCCAGCTGGTCTCGCTCTCATGGTCCTCGGCGAGCGTGCGATGGTAAGAATTGCACAAAAAACCTTCCAATCCTACTCTCTCGACTCTCTCTGCTTCATGGATGCTGACATTCACCTTGACCACTCACTTGTTGGTTTTCCCTTTTGTCTTGTTTTGATCGGTCGTGCCTTTTTGGTCGCTTTGGCGTTGCATTTGGAAACGCTTTTTTTGGGGCTTGCTTCGACACACGCCTTTCACCTGATCCGGTTTTGGCTGGTCAATTTTTAGGCGGCGTTCAACGATCGTGTGGCACGAAAGGTGCCGGTTACTGGATGGTACGCCTCGCTCGCCAACTGGCTCCCAATCATGAAGGCGTACGAGGCTCGTCAGCCTTCCTACTTTGCCACGCCGGCGGTCAACCTGATTGTTGCGCTGCACAAGGCGTTGGACAACTTGGTTGGCTTCCCTGGCGGCTTGTCTGCGCTGTTTGCCCGTCAAGTCCTTGCCAGTGACGCGTTCAAGGCTGGCATTGCGGCCATGGGCTTGACTTTGGTAAACAAACAAACAAACAAACAAACAAACACAAAAGAAAAAATTGCTCGGGTCTTTCATCTCACTTTGACTTCTTCGCAGGTCCCCAAGACACACGCATCTGCTGCTCATCTCCTATCAGCCATCCGCTTCCCTCAAGGAGTCGGGGCTGGCGACCTTGTGCCGAAAGTGCGCGCTCGTGGTGCGGTCATCACCGGTGGATTGCTGGCCCCCATCAAGACAGAGTACTTCCGCGTTGGCCACATGGGCGTGTCGGCACTCCAGGCCTCTCGCGACGATCTGCTTGTGACTTTGCGGGCGATTGAAGGTGCTTTGATTGAGCTTGGTGTCGCCGGCGTGACGGCTGGTGCTGCCGAAGCCGCCTTCAACTCTGTCCTGCGCAAGTGAGTGCATGCCCTGTGAACGGTTTAGTCTGGGGGCCCGGTTTCCAATGATTATGGCAGTAGTTTGGGTTTGAGATGGATGCATGGAATTCATATTGCTGTTGTTTTCCTTTCGTGTTTTTTTTCTTATGACAAAAAAGAAAAAAAAAAAAAAAGAAATCCAAAATGTTGTTGGCCAAATGTCAATACTGTATCATCATTCTTCTGCCTGCAGAAGGGCCGTTCGGAAGCTGAAGGGAGCAAACTTGTAGCCAGAACCTCCGTAGAATTTGTTCTGGAATTCAACCCTACAAACCAGATGGATACCAAAAAGGTCAGCCAACAAGCCAACACTGTTTGGCAAGCCGAACACAGCCCCCCAAAACCAAAAGCCTTTCGTACCAGTGCAACCGAAGCGCGTGCAAAAACGCAGACAAGCCTTCCATGATAAGAAGCACGCAGATAGTCAACACGGCCCAAGCGCCCCAAGCGAAAAAGAGCAAGGCAATGTTTCCTTTCAACCCAGACGCCATGATCATGTGCCACAAGACCTCAGAAAGCTCTGCAGCGTTGATGCAAGTCGCAAACCACAGAAGTGAGTCAAAAACAATGACGAGAATGAACGGCACAAAAAGCCAAATCAACGACACAAAGCAACAGGCAGCATTCTTCCAAACGTACGAGCGTGCGCAAGCGACAAGGCCCAAAGGCGAAGGTACGACGCGGTGTTGGAAATGCAGCCGAGGCAGAATTCGATCGTGTGAATGCACTGGTGCACCATGATCTCGCCCATCTCGTGCGATTCGGGTTCCTCTTCGTCAAAGGCTCGGACGTGCTCGACGGCTGGCTCGTGGTGCTTGTCAGCATGAGACCTTTCCGGAACGGGCGAAGCTCCACCAGGCGGGGTGTCGCTGGAATTCGATGACGAATCATGCGAGCTTCGATTGTTCACCAACGAAGCGTGGCGTGCCGCATTGTACAGGACTGGCACGAAGGCCTTGCCGGTCAGAGCGCACCGAATTCGGAGGAAGAGGTTGGCAATGGCAATCCGAAGGCGCTCCAAGCGGACTGGAAGACTGTGCCCCAACGTTTCCTTGTTGTGGCGGCCGTACAGCACGATCGGTTTGGCGAGAAGCATCCACGGAACGCACATCAGGGCCACAATGACCAGCGCGGACTGGACTTGCGCTTGAGCATCGGCCGTCAGGTAGAGCACGTCGTCCTTCTCGATAGAGCCAAACTTCAAGAACATGTTGATCAGCGTGATGAGCAACGAGGGCGCTTGCGAGCCAGGCCAGTAGGTGAGCCACTTGAAAATAATCATAAACACGAGGTAGCCGAAAATGCACGTCAAAAACAGGACTTGCGGGATAAACTCTGCCCAGATGCTGAGGTAGTTGCCAAAGTGCACGTGATTAAACACACTCAGGGCAATGCCAAACTCCATGTGCAGAATGCCCAGAATGACCGAAATCTTCATCTTGTACGGGTTCAGGAAGGTGAGGCGATTTTCGGCCACGTGCCAGACTGGGTCGATGCCAATGACGTACGGGTGCTGCATCCACGTCGGGTCAAAGTCGAGTGAATCTGGCATGGACGCGTTGATGCCGTCATAGTACGTTCCGTTCCACGTGCCGGCAAACATGGTCCCGTTGACTTCCGTGACCGAGGGGATGTCCCAGCCGGTGGTAAAGATGTCCACTCCCTTTCCGAAAATGTCATTGTAGATGAGACCCGTGTAGATGGAGAAGAGGCCCATGAGCAAGACAATGTACCGGCCGCCAAAGAGCGTGCTGAAGATTTCACCGCCTTCGCGCTTAAACTTGACGAGCTGCACCTCGTTGCGCACAAGATAGAGCGCGGCAAGGAACATGATCAGGCCATGGCCAAAATCACCAAACATGACGGCAAAGAGGAAGGGGAAAGTGATGACAGTGAAGGGTGCCGGATTGACCTCACGGTAGTTGGCGATGCCGAACGCGTCGACAATGTTCTGGAAGCCGGCGGTGAATTTGTTGACGCGGTTGAATGTCGGCGGCTTCTTCCCAGTTAATGGCAGCGGGGTGACGATCGTCAGTGCTGCGGCGGAGGCGCGTTGGGTCGAAACGATGACCGAGGCGCGCAAAATGCCCAACTCGTCGGTTGGGACCCACACCTCGGCAATCATGTACCGAGCGCCTTTGGACTCGTGCTGAAGGTGGTTCATAATTGTATAGGTGGCCTTGATCTTGAGGAGGCGGAAGAGCCAATGAACATGGCTGTCGCTCACCAGAACGAGCAGCTTTTGTCGTTGGGATCGCAGTTGACGCAACACGCCATCGAGCTCCTCCAGCGACCGCTGCGTGTCTGTCACGACGGCATTTCGAACAGCCGGCAAGTCGGAGCACTGCACAATGGTGGCATCGAACGATAGCGCGATGCGATTGATGCGGGTTTCCAACTGCGTTCCTTGGAAGAAGACGCAAAACATGTGGATCTGACGATCGCCAAAAACGTCCTGAAGGGAAGATGACGCACCACCACTGGTCGAGCCGCCTGCTCCATCTTGCAGAGTGAACACGTTGGTCTGGGGAATCAATGGCACGGTGCGAACAAACGCGTTGCCGCGGCTCACTCGCCACAGGATTTTCTCGAACGCCGTCAGCCGGCTAGAGTCGATGGTGCCGGCGACAAAGCTAAAGCGAACACCGCCGCGTTCGGCTGTCGCCGCGGGGACTTGGGCCTCAACGTCATGGACGTCGAGAAGCGTCGTGTCTTCGTCATGAACGCCGTGCGCTTCCAAGTCCTCGCGAACGGTATTCAAAAACTCATTCAGGTGCACATGCACCTGCAGGCGCGTAACGAGATCGAGCTTGGTGTTCTGGAGGCGAGCCTCGTTGTCTGACAGGTCGCGCAAATCCTTTTCGTGCTCGGCGACCAACACTTCGAGTTCTTCCAGTTCCTGCACGCGAAGGTGCTGCTGCAGACCAAGGTTGGTCGTCGAGCTCGGTCCGGGGCTGCTGCCGTTGCTGACCGACGAAGCAAGCATGTGGTCGACAGACTGGCGTCCACCAGACGAGGCCGAGGCCGAGGACGAGCTGGACAGGAAAGACATGCGGGTGGCCAGTTGCGGGTGGCGGGCAAGCAGATCCGCCTGTCGCTTTTGGAGTTTGGCAAGCTCCTTCTCCTCCCGCGAGGCCGGTGCCTCGAGCGGCTGCTTGCCCGACAGCTCGTCAAAGTTTACCTCGTCAATGATGGGGGCCGGCAGCGCGTTCTTGGCGTACAAGGCTTCGAAAAAGTCGAGTTTTCGCTCCACCACCTCGCATCGGCGCAGGTTGCTCACTTGGTGTCGTTGAAACTGAGACACGCCCAGGTTGAGATCGCGGAACTGCGCAATGCCAATGTCGCCAAGATCAGCCACCGTTTCGAACGCCGCGTCCGCCGGAATGATGAGCTGGACGAGGCTCATCTCCTCGGATCTGAAGAGCGAGCCCATGTTTTTTATGGATTTGGATTTGGGTTTGTGCTGGTGGTTCTTCCAAGGGGATTTCGATGCACGCGTGGGTTGGTGCTCTGCTATCCAAACAAAACAAAACAACAATGCCAAAAGTGGTGAGTGACGTTTTGCCTCTGGTCGAACAACTGTGGTTCTCGTTTTGGTGATCCGGATGAGAGATTCGCCGTTCACAAATCGGGATTGGCACAGATCTAAGTGCAGATCCAACCCCCGCCCCCGTTTTGGCCCAATCGCCCCCGATTTTGTCCATCGAGTTCAAAAGCAATGAAAGAGTGAGGGGGGGAGGGTGACCATGCGGTATTTCAGCCACCTTCATTCACAGCACTGTGGTACCGAAATAAAAAATAAAAAACAGAAAAAACAGAAAAAACAGAAAAAACAGAAAAAACAGAAAAAAACAAGACCGTGGGAAAAAAAACTGCATTTTCTCATCACAGTTTGACTTTTTTTGGGAATTCGCTTTTCGCTCTGGTTTGTGAATGCTCGCTTTCCGCTCACTGCCATCACGAAAGGACTTTGGCTGGTTGAGCGATGGATTTGTGGGGATGGTGGTGTGTCGTGAGATCCGACGCTTACGGCGCAGCGAGCTCAAAATCACGACAAAACCAATCAAATCGTAAAAATACAAATAAAAATAAAATCTTGTCCCTTTCGCGTTGCGGTCACCTCGTTTCGCCGCCAAGCAAGCACCGCCCCACACTGCCAGCAGCAAGTCTCCCTCCGAGTTGCCAACCCCGCCCCCCACAAACTCAAGCCAACCCAACGTCAACGAGCGCTCTGTCGCGCGTTTGTTGTTGTTGTTGTTCGCTGCCAACAATAATAAAAAAAATCGATTTTCGCACACATTAAAAACATACAAAATAAAATAAAAAAATAAAATAAAAAAAATTAAAAACGAAAAGTCATTTGGCACGTTGATGCGATGTGAGTTGGGTGGCCTCACACTCCTCGAGGCCACCCGAGGTAACCCCCGTCGGGTGTCAAGGCCTGACGAGATGGCTGGGGATCGGAGCTGGTTCGGGACGTAAGGGGGGGGGGAATCGGGGGTGAAGCGAGGAGGAAGGGGACAGCCAAGCGCGCTAAGGCCAGAGCGAGTAGGATGACGGAGAAGGAAGAACTGAGGTAGAAGCGATCGAAAGTAGGGAAAAAATGGCAGCAGCAGCCAACGGGTGACAGGAACAAAGAAAAAAAAAGCCACTCAACCAGCGACCGCAGTGGAAGAGGGGAGGGGGATGATGAGAGCGAGGGAGGGAGAGGAGAAGCGGAGCAAGTCGGCGGTGCATCACAAACCTTAAAAATCGCGGAATGGGAGTGAAAGAAAAAAGGGCGCAACACGAAAAAAAAAAAATAAAAAAATAATATAAAAAATAATAAAAAGAAAGAGTGACCTTGATTCAATCACGACTCAAAGAGCACGATTCAACACGAGCGACGCTGGTTGGTCAACCCAAAAGAGCTACCGAGCCCAAAAATCAACTGGAGAGAAAAGAGAGAGAGCGATAGGGACACATATCAGCAGACAGGCGAAAACAGGAAATAAACAAGAGCGGGAATGGATGATCGCACATGGCGGTGGAAAGACTCACGGTGGCACGAGTGAAGCGGATGACAAAACCGAAGCACGAAACACGAGGCAGACCAAACTGACAAAAATGGCACGAGAAGAAAAAGAAGCAGAAGAAGAAGTGCTGACAAAAACGAAAATGAAACGAGATCAGAGAGATCAAGGAGAGGATGGAAAAAGGAGACACTCTTCAATCATGCAACGGCGAGGTTCTGACCATCCTCGCAGCTTGGGACCACCGAGCAGCTCCGCACGTGTCCGCGAGCTTGAAACTGATCGTGACGCCCTGAAGCGAGAGCTGGAGCAATGAAAGATAGATTTAGCCAGTTTTCCTTTTTCTTGGCTGATATTCCCGGACAAGCGCTTTTTTTCTCGCTGCCCCATCCAAGCTATCGCCATCAAGTTCGCGGACGGTGAAACACACAAGAGCAAGGCAGAGCTGCAGCTCTCACCATCGCCTCCAACAAGAATGCCGAAAGAAGCCGCTGCCCAGCTTCTCGCCAAGTCGCGCCCGCTTGCTCAAGCAGACGCCATCGAAATAGCGGAAATCGCGAAAAAGCTTGCGGTCGGCAAGGATTTTGAACTGGCTCGACAGTGCGCGGACGCGGCGATCGCATCACTTCAAACGCTGGTTGGCGCCACTTCCGCAAGTCAAGAGCAGGTGCAAAACTTTCTCAGCCTCTCGAAGGCTGTCTTGGCCTTCCTGATAGCAGATTTTGCCGAAGACCAAGTGATGCCAACCGGTGAATTTGCAGACTTGGAAATTCCAAGAGGGTGCGGAACACAGCTAAAGCCGTTGCCATTCAGCAGGAAAACGTTCCTCTGCCGGTCGAGAATCAGCTGGTAGAACTCCTTTTGCTCGTTCCGCAGGTCACGAATGCTCAGGGTGCTGTTTCTCTTAAATGTTGCGAGCCTGTACAGCAGCGTGAAGGCTTCGTGTTGGTTGCGCTGCGAGTCTGGGTCCTGCTGCGGCGACGCTGCACCAAAAAGCAAAAACGAGTCAGAGAAGCTCAAAAAAGGGGAGCCGAGAGGATAGACATTGCTTACGCTGGTATCGTTCAGTCATACGAAGTCTCCAGAATCAAATTGACCGGGGCTGATCGTGTGTAATAAACGTTGTGCAGAGCAATGAGTCTACACCTGCTTGGTCGACAGGATCGGATTGATTGATTGGGCGAGCTTGAAACGGAGGAATCGCTGGGTTGACGGTTTGTTCAACGGGGAGACTGGTGATTTCGAGTGCTTTCACAAGAGAATCTGTTTTGTCTTTGGAAGAAAGCACGTCGATGCAAAGACTGATCAGGAAGGACAGTGCCGATGCTTCCCTTCTTTGATTGTTGAAGCCTTCCAAAGAGCCAAAAGCAGCTTCATTGAATCGAACATGGTGTGTCGCGTTAGACTTTTTTCGATGGCTCCAAATTTTTTCTACTTTAGCCATTTTCGACACACGCCAGTCGTCGTTCGTGATCACAAGTTCATGAGTTGGCTTGGTGGGGGCTGTGCACTGCTGTAAAGCGAGCGACAAACGCTTTTGCCCTTCTCATCTCTCTCGTGTCCTTCCCCCCCCCCACCTACCCACACCTCCCTTACCGTTGACCACGACCATGAACCACGATGAATACAATGCTGACACTGATTCCTGGGCTATGGCTTTGTGTCCTTGTTGCTCCAGGCTCCAGGATGCGGCTGGTCGCAAGCTCGTCGTGTTCGCGTGTCTCGTGCTGCTGTTCGGTCTGACCGAATTGACCGTCGGCATCCTCGTGAACAGGTACATTGCATCAAGCACTCTCACACCAGCCCAACAGCACTGCTGTGCGCGCGTATCTCGGGTCTGCTGGGGTGTGGCCACGTTCTCACCTTCCGTTCCCCACGTCCGAACGGGCGTGACCCCTTCTCCCGCAGTCTCGTTCTCCTCACAGACGCCTTCCATATGATCAGCGATCTGGTTTCGCTGGTCGTCGGTCTCGTTGCAGTCAGGGTACAGAATCCTTGTTTTCACATCAGTGGGATTGTCGTTTTGTCGATTTGGTATTTTGGCTGGGAAAAAGGCCACTCACATGTTTCGTTCTGAAACGATCAGATTTCCAAAAAAGATGCAAATAACAAGTACACGTATGGCTGGGTACGAACACACAAAGTCCATCGAGCATTCGCATTGACGCGTGGCTGGTTCTTTTCTTTCTTTTTTTGGGGACAAAAAGCCACATTCATGGGAATGCTAACTTGAGCGCTTCTTCTGATTGGCTCCGACAGGGCCGCGCGGAAATTGTCGGCGCATTTGCCAACGGCTGCATCCTCCTTGCTGTCTGCGTGTTCATTTTGCTAGAAGCAATTCACCGCTTTATCGAGCTCGAGAGTAAGGCATGGATGGTTTGGTGATTTTTTTATTTATTTTTTTTGGCTCGTTGCAAACTAACTTGTTGTTTGCTGATTTGTAGCAATTGCTCAGCCAATGTATGTCATTATTGTCGGTTGCATCGGTTTTGCCATGAACATTATTGGGTTGGCGCTGTTTCACGGCCACGGACACGGCCACAGTCACGGTGGTACGTATGGAAATTTTGGCATTTTGTTTTTCTCTTGGCCTGTTTTCGAGTGTCTCACACGCCGTCCCCGCTTTAGGACATGGGCATGGTCACAGTCATGGCCACAGCCATAGTCACAGCCATGGTCATAGCCATGAGCACAAGCACGGCCACAGCCATGAGCACGGCCACAGCCACAGCCACGCATCAAAGCAGCACGGACGCTTGAACCTGGACGAGTCCGACAGCGACGACGAGCTCGTGTTTGAAGATGACACACCCAAAAGCCTGCTGCTCCATGTGGACGACGACATTCACCTTTCGGAGCACAACAAGCTGCGCGAGTTTACCGCTGGAGAAGAAGATGCGGATTGCGACGACCCGGAGCATGGAAGCCCCAACAAGCGCAAGCGCTCTTCCAACACCAACTTGCATGCCATTTTTCTGCACGTGGCTGGCGACTGTCTCAGCAGCGTTGGTGTGATTGTCAGTGGCGTTCTCGAAGAGTACTTGCCATACGACTTCCGTTTTTACTTTGATCCTGCCATCAGGTGAGCCACGAATGGTTGGGTTGGGCGTTCTGCATCTGACACACCTGGCAAGCATGCTCAACCTCGTCTCTGTGGATACGTGCATTGGTTTGTGATTCTGTGTGTGGGCAGCGTAATTATCTCGATCGTCATTGCGTTCTCGTGCATTCCGTTGTTGCGCCGTTGCCTGCGCATCCTGTTGCAACGAGCGCCCGATCACATCCCTTGCGGCCTCATTCAAGAGCAAATAGCCAACATTCCAGCGGTGGATGAGGTTGTAACGCTGAACGTCTGGTACGGCTTTTGTGAAAGTGTCGTATGAGTTGCTATGCATGCGATGAACAAGTATTCATCTGTGTGAGCTGCTTGCTACGTCTGATTCTCGACTGCACAGGGAGCTCTCGGATACCACTGTTGTCGGAACGGTCGTTGTGCGAGTCAACGCCGAAACCAGCGTGCGCACTGTGACGGAATCGGTGCGCAGCATCATGACCAGCCATGGCATCCACCACATTACGGTTGAGCCTCAGTTTTAATTTCTTGATATCTTTTCAATGCATCCGCGGCGTGCAAATAGCATCTGTGAAATACTCATTTTAGTCGACCCGACATGCTGGTTTTGTAACACTCAGCCAAGCAACCTCCCTGAGCAAATATTACACGCAACGCTAACTTTATGGGGTTGGGATTGGGCCGAGAAGTACATTCAAGAAACAACTACGACTTTGATAACAGGATCAGAGCACGATGGCCCTGAAAAGCGCCAGACCACAAAAACAAACGAACATTGAAAATATCAACAAAAACACAAGCAGTCATAGCCTTTGGGACAAGTAAAAATTGGCTAATCGACTGCAAGATGATGCAGGGGAGAAGCTGAGCAACCGCGCAAGCCTCCAAAATCACGTGCAGACCTCCTCGGCCATGACGCCCACAATGTTGCCGCCAGGACCAAGGCCGGCGACAAAGACGGGCCGATTGTTGAGAAAGTCGTCGCGGAGGGTGATGTAATGGAGATTGGACAGCTCCCCGAGACGCGAGGCGAGTTGCTTGACTGCGCTCGGAGAATGGCCGGGAGCAGCGTAGCTGACACGTGTCACAAACCGCTCTAGGAACTGCGCCTCGCGCGAGGGGGCAGACGGACCAGAGTCGCAGTGAACGCTGCCATCGTGCGGGGTCAGCACCACGAACGGATCGGTCGAGTCGCCCGATCCGAGCAGCGCGCGAAGCAATCCGCCGGGCAATTGGACCAAGGCCGGCGCAGAGCCAGCGCTCGCGCCCTCGACTGCAGCGAGCGCCTCAACGTCAATCACAAAGGGAAAGTAGCACGACTCCGAGTCGCTCTCACGGAGACACGACCGCGCGGGGAGCAATCCCAGCGCCGCAGTGACGTCCTGGACCAGCGCTGGTCGGGCGGAGGCAGAGGCCCAACGCACCGCGTCTCGCATGAGCGTCACCAGCCCCGTGGGCCACTGCGTGAGCACTGGGCCGGTGGCCAGAACACCCGACGTGTGGCCGATGCGCTTGAGCTTGGCGCCAAGCTGGGCGAGCAGCGCGTTCAGCGACTCGACTTCCTGCGTCACCGGCGGCAGCTTGTCGAGCAGCTGCTGCGCGTTGCTCTGCGGCACTTGCGAGTTGCTCCCAGCGACATCGACGCCCAGCAGCGTCCGGAACTGCTCCGTCGGGGCAAGCGATGACGCGTACGAGCGCTTTGGCTGAACTGCCGACGCCGAAACGAACGCCGACGCCGTCCGTGCCAGAGGGGCGGCAGCAGCGCTGGTGGCACTCAGGCTCCTCCAGGTGACATGCCATGCCGGGGTTGTTGCCGTGGCTGCGAGTCGCGAGGCAGCCTGGCGCACCGTCGTCGTCGCGAGGAGTCGGTTTGCCAAGATTGACATGTTGTGTGTGCCCAGCGTTGATTTTATGTACAAAATGACTGAACAACCAATGGTGAAGATCGCCGAAGCCAAGCAGCGAATTGGCTGTCTTGCCAGGATGACGAAAAAGAACAAAGAGCAGGATTTCGGCACGGGTTGGAAGGGGTTGTGCGAAAATGCAAAGGGCGAGGAACGCAAGGTGTTGTTGTTTGGCTGATGCAAAATTGGTGAGATTCAACCAAGAATTATTCCCCCGCCAAAAATCATGCCTCAAGAGGACTCGAGAAATTCTCATGACGCTAAACAACCCGAGGGGAATGGACAGAAAGAAAGAAGGGGGGGGGGAAGAATCCAACATCGATTTTCGAAAATCGACCGTTCAGCCAAAAATCTCAATCGGGACGCGCTCCAGCTCTCTCTCTCTTCCCTTCGTGTATGTCGAGTCTTTGCCACCATCTGACATGCCAATCCGATGAAGATTCATGCTATCGATTGTTTGAGGCCATGAAGGGCGGGGGTTGCAATGCAAGAAGGGGGCGATTTCGGGGTGTAAAGGAGGAGGAGGAAGCGGACGGCGGGCGGAACGTTTGACCTTTGATCGGTTTTTTTTTTTTTTTTGCTCACCTTCGTTGCTCCGTGCTGCTCGTTGTTCTCCTTTGCACGACCGTCCCATGCTACGACGGACGTCTGTCTCTTTCGTTGCTCACCGCAATCCTGCCGCCATCGGTGCCAACTGCCTCTCGCTGTCGCTATTCGGTTGCGCGACAAAATAAATGAAAAACCAGCTTCGAGATGTCCAAGTCCAAGAACCACACCAACCACAACCAGAGTAAGTTGTTTGCCGTTGCCGTTGCGTAGTTTATCGAATTCTGGTCACGGATTGGCTGCATGGGGCGGGCATGGGGGCCCAGGCATCAACAACGGAGGAAAGGGCAAAAAAAAAAAAAAAAAAAAAAAGCGAGCAGCACCGTGTCCACTGCTTGGCTTGGAGTCTCGCTAACACGGCAGGCAGCATCAACAGCAATTCCACAGCAATTCCACAAAGACGCCCCATTGTGGTCACTGGCTGCTCTGCTGTCATCGCGGGACGGGAAAGAAAGGTCTTTGGGTTGTTTTCTCTCGTTCCCTCGTTCCCTCGTTCCACACACCCCAACGACGGCCACATCCATCCTAGTGAATACCTCTGAATCATTGTTCTCACCAACCATGCCCACTTCCCCTCCAACCAGGCGTCAAGGCCCACCGCAACGGCATCAAGAAGCCAAAGTCGAACAAGTACCCTTCGCTCCGCGGTGTCGACCCCAAGTTCCTCCGTAACATGCGCTTCGCCAAGAAGCACAACGTTCTGCACGCTGGCGACAAGAAGCAAGAGTAAAAACCAGACCGTCCCCTCCTGGTTTTTGATTTTCGCGTCCTGTTAAAAAGCCCCCCCCCCTGCCCTCCTGGTTCTTGGTCCCCCTTCATGAGCTGATCCCAGCGAGTGTGGCTTGCTTGCTTTGCAACCAAGCGGATTTGTTTTCGTGTGTGCTTGTTCTGTGGCAAATCACAAGCGTTGGACTTTTTTTTTTTTCGACGGCTTTTGATTTTTTTTGTTTCACCTTGCAGAAAGCGAGTGTGTGTGTGGGTGAGAGTGGAAGTGTGACTGTGATCGAGTGTGACTGCTACGAGCCTGGGAAAAGTTATCAGTGGAATCTGCTTTACTAGTTTGTTTTAAACAACAATGTGATCACTGGCACCGTCTGTTCGGGTGTCCATCGCCTCGTGTGAATGTCCGTCATGCGAATGCCCATGTTCACCCCGCTCGGAGAAGCATCGCGACCCGAGCATTGCGGCGATGCATTGCACAAGGTTGTCTGTCATGAGCGTGTCCACCTCCTCTTGCAAGTGTCGCTTGGGGTCTTGCTTGCCCACATGCTTGACGGCGAGTTGCTCTTGCGTCAGCTTGTCCTCTTCTTCGACGAGCTGTAGGATGCGTGGCAGAGTTGAAAACAAAAGGGAAACAAATGAGCAAAGTCGAAAAGTCGACTGTTGAACAACAACCTCGAAATAACAGACCTTGTGGTATTGCTTGGCCAGATCTTGCATAGCCTCGACCTTCTCCGAGTTTGTCTTGTCGTGTTGGTGGTAGTCCTTGATGGTCAACGCTGACAGAAATGAAGCGAATTCGTCAAGTCAGTGCAAAGTCAACGCTGCGTCCAAGAAAAAAAAAACCTGCATCGACAAACGAAACTCACCATCCGACCACGACTTCTTGTGCAGGTTGAGCAGCATTTTCTGCTCAAGCTCATTCTTGCGGTAGTTGATTGGCAGCGAGTAGTAGTTGCGGTTGAGGCCGTGGATGAGGGCCTGGATGGACGGCTTGTGCAGATGGCCGAGGTTGGAGGTCGTCTGGCGCGGCTCCTGACCGAGAATGACGAGCTGTTGATCGATGGTGCGGAAGGCGTCAATCACGACCTTGCCCTTCACGGATTGGATGGGATCGATGACGACGGCGACGCATCGGCGGTGCGTCTTCTCGAACGACTGCTGCGTTTCAACGTCGACGCCCGACAGCCAGCAGCCAAAGCCCGGGTGGGAGTGGTACCACCCAACCACGTCCTGCATGCGACCGGTCTGCTTGAGCTGTGCAATCATGGCCGTTTGGTACGGGTGGTCGATGGCCTCGACGGAGACGCCCGTGCCGCTCTGAGGCATGGCAAACACGTCAATAACCGAGATGGTGTAATCGTCGACGAACGTTCCGAGCAGCAGGCCCATGACCTCCATTGGGACGCCTGTGAGTGAGAGGCACAGAGAGACAAAATCGTTTTCCAGAAACATCAGTGTGCGTTTCATGCCCTCTCTGCATCCAAGCGTGCAAAGCCGACTCGTCATTCATCAGAGCATCAAGCACGCCACAGTCATCACCCCATCAACATCATCGCTCGTCCGTGGCTGTCGTCCAAAACCAAACTCGAGAACGCAATGGAGCGTCACCAAAATGTTTCTTTTTTTTTTTTCTCGATCTCGAAATTTTTTTTTTTTTTTTTTTTTGTGAGTGTTGAGCTCTTGTTCTCGTAGCTGCAGCTCTGGGCACAACTCGAGATGTACAGCAAGACAGTAGATTCACAGAGGAATGCACGCCAAGCAAAACGCAACCCACTTCCCCAAAGGGCCGAGCCGAGCAAAAGCGATGCTCTGGCTGCCTTTCGCGCGTAATCCACCCCACTTCTCGCCCGTCCAAGCCGTTGACGATTGCACTTTCGCGGGGGGCTTGCTTTACCTGCACGGCCGTGCTTGAGCATCTTGAGCAGGGCGAGCGATGAAATGTACACTGTCTCGGCGGTGTCGGCTGCGTTGCGCTCGCCTGCCATGTCCTGGTTGTGGCGGCCGCCCATCATCATTTGCTGCATCATCTCCATTTTGGCTTCTGAGTGATTGATTGAGTTATTGAAGAAACTAGACTGCCAGATCTGAGTTAGTTTAATGGTTTCTCCTTTCTGTTAAGCACCGACCGGGGTGGTTTTGGGTGTTGAGGATCTGGACGATTTGAAGGGATGGTGTTTCAACTTGAATTTGATTCGAACCAGAACACTCAGAACAAAACCAAAATGCACGGCGGCGGTAGGAGACCATTGCAGCTTGTCAACCCGTCTTTGGATGAGACTTCCTCACAACGACGGTGGCGTTGGTTTGAGAAGTGGGGCCGAGCGTCCGATTTCCTTCGTTCGCTGCTTGGTAACCAAATCGAGCCGGTTTCCACAGAAAAGGCACTTCCTGTTGCCCATGATTATTCAGCAGCGACTTGTTTGGTGCTCGTTGCGCGTTTTTGCCTTCGTCTGAGAAAACAGCACACCCTCACCCGCCTTGTTCTGTGTGTTTTTTCGCATTCAAAGATCAAATGCAGCAAATCTCCCATTTCGTGCCTTTTCCCAGTCGTTAGCTTCTCGTTTCTTGCTGGACTGCTCTTCATGCAACCCACATCTCAATTCGAATAGTCCGTTCAATTACACCCATCCCCTCTGTCTCACACACTCTCTTACTCGCTCTCGGTTCTCGTGTCAAAGGAGTGTTTTGGTCTGCCTTGCACGAAAAATCAAACACTCCTTGTTTTATTGTTCTTTCTCCCTCTCTCTTGCTCTCTCTCCCTCTCTTTCTCTCCAATTATCATTCATTCTCTTCTACTTCCATTCTTTTTTCTTTCTGTGCGACGCTTCCGACCGTCGAGCCGAGGTCGAGTCGTTCTTCCCACATTGTTGTTGAAAGCGGTTTTTCTAGTTTTGGAGTGATTCATCCGCTTGGTTTTCTGGCTCAGTCTCTCTCCCATCATTGTTCCCCTCACTCATTCTCTGATCGCTCTCCCATTCGCACATCGCTTTTCTCGCATCTCTCTAATACTCTTGCTCTCTATTCTCCACTCTCTTTCGTTACTCACTGCCGAGCATAAATCATAAATCAGTCCTTTCCCTTCGATTCTTTCTTTCTGTTTTTTTTTTTTTTAATTTTTTTAAACTATGTCGGCCAACGACGAGGAAAGCTCGCCCCTGACGCGAAGGCACGGCGGGCGCCACCATCACAAACCTACCAAGCCAGCAACCAACACAACCCCTGCCACTGGTGCTGCGTCTGCGGCGGCGTCGAACGGCAATGGCGAGATGAGCAATCACAGTGATACTACCAGCGGTGGATTCGCCACGACTCCTGCAACTGCGACGGTGACGACTGCCGCTGCTACGACCACGACTGCTGCCGCTGCTGCTGCTGCTACTGCTGGTGGTGGTGCTGCGACGAGTGGTAGCAGTACTTCATTAACAAACACGGTGCTGACTGCGCCCAGTTCCGCCGATTTGGCAGCAATGTCGCCAGCCACGCGCCGAAGAATGCTGAACATCAACCCCAGCGGACGGCCGAGCGGCAAGCAGGCCATTGTGCTGCTGCTCGACGACGCAGAGGATGAGCACGACAACGACGACGACGACGACGATGACAACGACGGCAGCTCGGGTGGCGAGCCAGTCGCAGCAGTACTAGCGACACCCACAGCCGCTCCTGCTCCTGCTCCTGCTCCTGCGCCTGCTCCTGCGCCTGCTCCGGTCGTCGTCGCGGCCAGCAACAGCTACCGAGACAGCTTTGATGAAGACGAGATGACCAACCGTCGTGCGTCTCAGCCAAGAACGGCTGCCGCTCAGCAGCATCCACCGCCGCCGCCCGCTGGTACCGTGCCATTCACCTTGACCCCGAAAGTGCAGACGCCGACATTGATTGTCGAGCTGGAGGCATCTCCTGCACAGCGTCGCCGGGATGCTCGCAAGCTGTCGGCGCCAATCGAGGTCGCTCCAGAGGTTTTGACACCAGGCGACGCTTCCTCCTTGCGATACTCGTATTCCGCGTCGGCGTCGCCAGCACACTCACCATTGGGCTCGTCAGAGCGCATCCAGTCACATAATTCCGACACCAACATCCCTGCACGGCAGCCGATTCGGCGCTCGGCCTCGCAGGGCATGGAGGAAGACAACCGCCACTCGACGCTTTTTGGGGTGGAGGCCAAAGCTTTGGGCCATCATCCGTCGTCAGTATCTGCCACCGTCTCGCCACTGGGATCCACCGAATTGTTGGAAGGAAAGCCGCCAAAGACGACCGCAGCCGCAGCTTTTGCAGCTCGATTTTCCGGCACTGCGAGCCCCGACTCTCCAATCCGCCACAACGAGCTATTGGCGCTAGCTGCATCCATGGGCTGCAACCCGCCGAAATCACCAGCGCCTCTCTCGCCCGTCAACATTCAATTTGGCGACAATCTTTTGGTGCCCGAGGTGCACACTCGCGTTCCCCGGGTCGATGCCGCCCGCCGCAAACAGCTCGGTCGCTCCGTCAGCAACCCAGACGCCATTGCAGAGGCCATCGCGGCGAACGCCGCTCTCGCTGCCCAGCTCGCCGACAATGGCAGGGCGGCTGGTGACGCCCCTCAAGCACAAGCGTCGTCGTCGTCGTCGTCGTCGTCGTCGGACGCTGCGCAACAACATAAGATTGTTCCTTCCAAGACCAAAATGCAAGCCGTTGCGGCTCGCGCAAAAATGCAAAGGCGGACCACCAACCGCTCGCTCACGAATGACAAGCGTGGCGGCCTGATGGCGCTTCTTCGCGATGAAACATCGCGTAAGCAAGGCGGGATTAGCAGTAACGGGTTTCTGACCGTGCCCGGTGAGGACGGAATCTCTCAAGCCTCGTCTGTTAGCAGCCTGTCGGACGAGGAAGAGGAAGAAGAAGAGTTTCATCTCTCGTTCGGTGGCATTCCCGAGGACAGCCAAACGTCCAATTCGAGCAACGATCTCGTCGGCGGCAATGCCGGCGTTGATGATGACGACGATGATCTCATTGCTCCTTCGCGCCTGGGCAATCTGGGCCTGGGAGGAATGGGCTTGGACTTTAGCTCGGGCATGGATTTCGCCGACGCCGTCCGCTCGAGCATGGACTTTGACACGACGATGGAGTTTACGTCCAGCGCAGGAGCGGACTTTGCTAGCACCTCAGTAGAAGACTTGTTGGCCACGAGCGAGGAAGTGGTCGAGAGCGAAGATCTTTCTCCCCTCGAGGCCCGCGAGCGTCGCTTGGCACTTCTCGACATCCCGCCAGCATCGCGCACCCCCGAGCAAGTCACCGAGCTGTGCAGATTACTGCAGGATTTCCCAGCCTTTGCAGAGCTGAACGGCGACACGCCACGACGCGAACTCTGCGCGATCGCAAAGTTTGTTCGCTTTGAAGAGAGCGATTCAATCGTGGATGTGATGGATGAGCTGTGCGAAACTCAGGTAGGGGGGGGGATGATTTTTTTTTTATGCGTCGCTCTTTTGGGTTGCATTCTTTTGTGTTTCCTGCGCGCTGACTTTTTTTTTTTCTGTGATTGTTGTTGTGATTGTTGTTGTTGCTTGGCCTTGACATTGCCCAGTGGTACTTTGTGCATCAAGGGGCTCTCGATGTCATTATTGACGGCGAAATCGTGGTTACGACACTGGAGGGCGAAGGGTTTGGCCAAAAGCCTCTTGTGGTCGACGGACGAGTCCGCCTGGACGCCATCGTGCTCACCCGTGGCCCAGATGTCGAGCTCTTGAACGTGCCATTGCAGCACTACGAACGCATCTCTCGTCTCGTGGAGAGCACCACGGAAAAGATTGTCGACGACGCTGGCGAGGTTGTCATGATTCTCGACAAGCGTACGAGAACTGCGCCGTTGCAATTTGGGTTGCCTTCACAGCGCAACGTCTCGGTGCTCGTGACGCAAGCCACCCTCGAAAAGCTGATTGAGCGCCTGTATCTTGCCGACCTGCAAGCCCTGGACGAGTTCTACCACCAAGACTTTTTGCTGTCCCATCGCACATTTACCTCTTCTGAAAACTTGCTTGGCGCCATGATTGACCGTTTGCGCCTGCCCGGCGCCGCGTTCGTTCCCAAGGCTCCCAAAGGCGCTGCAGCGCCCATCACCTCGCCCGAGCAGCTTCGCTCCCCGGCTCACGTTATTGGCGACATTTTGCTGGATTGGATGGCCGATTATCCCAAAGACTTTTGTCGGCCGAGCATGTGGGATCTCCTGGCGCAGGCGCAAAAGCTGCTCACGGCCCTCGAGCCCAAACTCGCCGAGGTACGAGAGCTTGCGACTGCTGTGCTGGCGCTCCGTCCGGCAGAGTCCGGGGCGCCGCCGACCTCAGGAACGGCACCTTTGACACGAGAGCCCAGCCTGGGGCTTCATGCCGTGCACGCCAATCTCGCACCGCTTGGGTTTGCTCTTGGCCCCGATCCGCGTCGGCGCGCCTCCAGCGCTGCCAGCTCCATTATCGTCCCCAAATCAGCCAACGCACAGCCGCACACGCCTCCTTCCGGCCTCCAAAGTGCGCGCTTCAAACGATTCTTTGGACGCGGCAACTCTAGCGAGGAACGTGCGGGCAGCGCTGCCGCGAGTCCGGCGGCGCCATCGACGGCGACCGCCTCGCCCGCTGGTGCCGCGAAAGAGACTAACGGAGTGCCGGCTGCCAAGACTGTTCGCACCCAGCGCCATCGTCTGCTCGACGAAGACAGTGATTTTGAGGTTATTCGTGTCTACCGTGGCGACCAAACCTTCCGCTACGTGGCCGTCTATCCCCACACGACAGCCGCCGAGGTGGTGAGCGAACTGCTCGAGTCGTTCAGCATCCAGCTCAAGAGCGCGTCCGACCGCACAGAGTACGTGCTTGTGATGGCCGTGGCAGCGCTCGGGTCTGCGCCCGGTCGCGTCAGCAGGCTGAGTCCTGCTGCCGACCACTTGGCACAAACCCTCAGCATTCACTCTCGCTACTATCTGCGCAACAATGCCAACTTGGCCGAGCGGCTGCTCCCGCCCGAGCCGATTGCTGTTGAAGGCGAGAGCCTGATATTGGCCATGGACCCGATCGAGCTGGCTCGCCAAATTACGCTGGAAGACTCCGAGCTGTTCCGGTCCATTTCGCCCTCCGAGTATGTCGACTATCTCTTCAAGCTGGACAACAACAAGTGCGAGAATCTCCACAAGTTCATCGAGCGGTTTAATCTGATCAACTTCTGGGTGGTGACGCAGATTGTGTCGACGCGCGATCTCCGAAAGCGAGCCATGGTGATTCGCTTCCTCGTGCTGATGGCCAAGTGCTTCAAGGAGTGGAACAACTTCAACTCGCTGTTTGCCCTTGTGTCTGGCTTTGCCAACTCCGCCGTGACCCGTCTGCACAACACACACAGCAAGCTGAGCAAGCGCACCGTTGCCGCCATGCAAGGGTTTGAGGCACTGATGAATCCGACGCGCAACATGGGGGCGTATCGAAGCATGCTGCTCCAGGTGCCGGAAGGCACGCCATTGGTTCCCTTCTTCCCCTTGCTCATGAAGGATCTCGTCTTTATTCACGAAGGCAATCCAAGCAAGTTCAACGGCCTGATCAACTTTGACAAGCGGCGGCTCATTGGCCGCACTCTGCGCAACGTCAAGCGCATGGCCGAGGTCGGGTATCTCGATGCCAACTTTAAGTTTGAGCTCGACGAGGCCAAAGAGCTGGATGCCTTTGGCTCTGAGCAGGACGACGCCAAGATCCTGCGTGACACGGTCAAGCGGTCGCTCGTTGCCAGCAAGACGGCCAACGTCAACACCCTTTCCATCGGTTCTGCGGGCGCCGCCATGCGCCAGCTGTTTGAAAAGACGCGCACCAAGTTCTTTGTTCAAGAGTATCTCGGCGAGCTAGTCAAGCACGTCGATCTTGATCAAAACCGGCTGAGTGTGCGTTCTGCCGAGCTCGAGCATCGGCCGTAATAATTATTTGGTTTCAATTCTCGTTGGGGGGAGGGGAGTTTTCTTCTTCTTCTTCTTTGTGATTGTTGTTGTTGCTGTTTCTATTGCTGTTGCTGTTGTTGTTGTTGTTGTTGAGGCATGGTTGTACAATTCTTGAATTTCCTCTTCTTTTTTTTTTTTTCCATTACATTGCAAAAACACTGAAAATGAATTGAAAATTTCATCATTTTTTTTTTTTTGTATTTTTGTTTTTGTTTTGATTACTATTTATTTTTAAGGGAATTTCTTTTGATTCATCAGTTTTTGTTTTTTTTTTTAACATTTTTTCATTGTGATTTTTTTTTGCTGCTGCGTTTTTTTTTTTTTTTCTTCTTCTTCTTTCACATACAAAATGAGTCATCATCAGCAACAGCACTCACAACAGCCGCAGCAGCGATCCACAGCGACAGGCACAGCGACAGGCACCGGAACCACCGCTGCACGAAGCGGATTGTCATCCACCCTGCGATCGTCGAGCCCGCTTCTTGGCTCGTCTTCCTCCGCGCTGACCTCGTCGTCGTCCACTCTCACATCCGGCGCTGGGTCTGGCCTTGGGTCTGGCTTTGGGTCGTCGTCGTCGCTGGCGTCCAGCACCACCCGCGCTTCGTCGTCGCTCCTCTCGTCCTCGACCTCGTCCTCATCCTCGTCGACGTCAGCGTCTCGCTATGGCGCGTCCTCATCCGCCGCCACTGCCGGGTCGTCATCCCTGTCCTCGTCCTTGAGCAGCGGTCTGCGCACTGGCGGATCGATCTCTTCATCCTCCTCGGCATCCTCCTCACGCCTCTATGGCTCAACCAGCGGGTCCGTCCTTGGTCGCACGACCACGTCCTCTGCTCTGTCGTCCTCTGCCCTGTCGTCGTCGTCGTCTGCGTCTGCTCTGTCGTCGTCGTCGTCGTCTGCATCTGCATCTGCATCTGCATTGACGTCGTCCGCTTTGGCTTCGTCACGCAATGTTTCGTCATCCACCTCGATTGGGCTGTCATCCCGCACCCTGACCGGCTCAACTTCCACCTCGTCGAGCTTCACCTCGTCATCCACTTCGTCTGCGCTTGGCTCGCAGGGGGCTCTTCGCTTGGGTGGCTCGCTGCAGACCACTTCCTCGACCTTGGGCGGGCTTCGCCGATCGCACGCTGCGGGTCCCACCAGCGCCATTGCAAACGGCGATATGACTGCTGCTGCTGCTGCTGCTGCTGCCGCTGCTGCTCCAGACACCATTGTCGGTACAATGTATGCGGACGACGAAATCGAGGTCTCTGGCTTTGACGCATTCATCCCGTCGTACGACTTTTCTGCATGGGACGATCCCGAGCTCGCCGAGTATGCCATCCAGGCATCGTCGGGTGCCACCGCGCCGCTCGTCCCACCGCCGGTGCTGCCGTTCGCTTCGACAGAGTCCATCAAGGAGCATGCGTATGCAGCCGTCGCCGTCTCGCCCACCTCCCTCGTCGCCGCCAAGCAGGCCTTGCTCAACGCTGTCGCCGCATCGCTCTTGCGCGAGCCCGACTTTTATGCCGTTGGCAATGCAACCCGCGCCAACGTCATGGCGCTGGCCGAGCATGTCGCAGAGGTCAATCCCGAGTTCATCCTTCAGACCGCGCTCTACACGCGCCAGGAGCTCGGCATTCGCTCGACAGCCAACTTTTTGCTGGCGCTCGCAGGTCGCATCCCAGCGTGCCGACCCTTCCTCGCAAAGTACTTTAACGAGTCCATTCGATTGCCCTCCGACTGGATGGAGGTCGCTCAGCTCTACCAAATGTTTGGCGACGGGCATCTCAACCGCGGCTCGCTGCCCACTGCGCTGCGTCGCGTCATGGCTGACAAGTTCCCCGAGTTTGACGAGTACCAGCTGGGCAAGTACAACAAGGACAAGTCCAAGTCAAAGAAGGACAAGGAGAAGGGCGGCGATTCGTCGGCTCGCGGTGGCGCTCGTGGCGGACGCGGTGCTGGTCGCGGTGGTCGCGGCGGCGGCCGTGGTGGCCGGGCCGGCGTGGGCTTTGGAACAACTCCCAACTCGTTCGCCGTCGTTCCCGCATATGAGGACGCCGTCGTTGCCACAGATGAGGACGCTGAGGACGAGCAAAAGCTTGAAAAGATGGAGTTTACCATCAAGCAGCTTGTGCGCAAGCTGCACATTTCTCACCCAGTCGATCGTGTGATGGCCATCATTGGCAAGAAGTATCCTTCGTCACTCGAGGAGTTCTACAAGCTCAAGCTCCCTGGCGACTACGACGCGACTCGCTGCGGCAAGCGCATGAAGCTGCCCGTGCCAGAAACATGGGAAACGCAAGTGTCGCTCAAGGGCAACAATGCCACGACGTGGCAGACGCTCATCGATCACAACAAGCTGCCGTTCATGGCCATGCTTCGCAACTTGCGCAACATCATCATGGCTGGCGTGTCCCACCGTCACCATCGCTGGATTTTGCGCAAGCTGACCGAGCCCATTGCGGTCATCAACAGCAAGCAGTTCCCCTTCCGGTTCTTCTCGGCGTACGAGGCCATTGACGAATGCCTCAAGCCTCCAGCTGCCGCCGGTGCTGGTCGCGGTGGACGTGGTGGTCGTGGAGGAGGTGCCGCACGCGGCGGTCGCGGGGGTCGCGGCGGCCGTGGTGGTGGTGCTGCTGCTTCCAAGCCTGCCAAGGAGCCTGTCGTCGTCGACCCGAAGGTTGTTGCCGACTACCGCAACGCGCTCGATACGGCCGTGAAAATTGCCACCGCGCACAACGTTTCTCCCATCAAGGGCAAGACGATCGTGTTGTGCAACGCTTCGGCGAACATGCACAAGCCTTGCGGCTCCGCCAAGGGCCTCGGCAAGCCCCGCACGGTTGCCGAGATTGCCGTGTTGATGGGTCTGATGTGCAAGCATGCCTGCGAGGACGCTGTATTTGCCGTGTACGGCCCGGCCAGCGCCGGCTCTTCGGAGATTCGTGTCCAGTTTGCCACGCTGGAGGACGCCACCATCCTGAACAACATGTCGAGCGTCCTGTCGCAGGCCTACACACTTCAACAAACCGGCAGCGAGCCAAACGGGGACTGCGCGCTTCCTTACGAGTACCTCACAGGACTGCTGCGCGACGGCGTGGTGGTTGACAACCTGATCGTCTTGTCGAATACGTGCGAGCGCGAGCTCGGCGACTTTTTGTTCAAGTACCGGCAAATGGTCAATCCCAATCTGCTCTTTGTGGCCATCGATCTTGCTGGCTCTGCTTCTGGCGTCGTGGCAGCAGACGCAGTCGTCACGGATGCCGGCGAAACTGCGATTGCAGGCAACCATCCGAACGATGTCCTCATCTCTGGCTGGTCGGACGCGTTGTTGCGCTTTATTGCCGAGCGAGGCGACTCTGCGCAAGTCACCCATGTCGAGAACATTGGAATTGCCTACAAGCTTGGCTCGAAGGCGGCCGATGCGGGCTCGACCAGCGCTGCGGGAGCGTCCAAGGGCAAGTCGTCTGCTGCCCGCTCGACTGAAGTGGCCGTCTTTGGCTCTCAGCGAAATGGCAGTGCCGCGACGGCAGAGGACAACAAGCGCGCACAAATCAGCAAGATTGCTCGCACCCGCCCATTCCTCAAGCCTCGCGCCAACCCCGCGCTCCGCCCACGCGTGGCCCGCATCTTCATCTCGTCAACCTTCTTGGACATGCATGGCGAGCGCGATTTGCTGGTGCGCTTTGTCTTCCCCGAGCTCCGCGCGCGTGCTGCCCTGATCGGCGTCAGCTTGTTTGAGGTGGATCTCCGCTGGGGCATTTCTGGCAAGGAGGCTCTGACCAATCGCACGCTGGACCTGTGTCTCTCGGAAGTGGACCGATGCCGACCGTTCTTTTTGGGCTTCCTCGGCGATCGCTACGGCTTTGTCCCTCCGGCGTACGTCCTGCCCGACGAGGATCGCTACAAGTGGGTCAAGTCCTACCCCACGGGCCGTTCCGTGACCGAGTTGGAAATGATGCATGGCGCGCTCAACAACCCGGAGAAGGCCAAGGGCCGCGCCTTCTTCTTTATGCGCGACAACCGCTTCCTGGACGATTTGCCCCAAGTCCTGGGCTCGCGCTTTGTCGAGACAAACGAGGCGTCCACCAAGGCACTTCGTGCTCTCAAGAAGAAGGTCAAGGAATCTGGGCTGTGCGTCCAAGACCGGTACTCTTGCTCTTGGGGCGGCCTTGTGGATGGCAAGCCTGCTGTCAGCGGTCTTGCCCAACTGGGTCAGGTTTTGGTCGACACCCTGTGGGGCGCCATTCGGGCCGAGTTTGCCACTGTGCCGTCCGACGTGACCTCCAACGATGCACATGCCGCGACCGAGGCCGCACTCGATGACGACGCGCACAACCGATTCGTCCAAATCCGCTCGGACGCCTTCTTTGGTCGGCAGCAGCTCATCAAGCAGCTCCATCGCTTTGTCCATTACTCTCCCGGAAGCACTCTTCTCGTTTCCGGCAAGGTTGGCTCTGGCAAGTCGAGCTTGCTGGCGTCCTTTGTGCGCGAGCACGTTGTCGTCTACCCCAGCGATTCGATTCTGGCGCATTTTATCGGCGTCTCTCCGGCGTCCTCTGACCCTCGCCGCATGCTGCATCGCCTGTGCTCGCAGCTGGTCAACCGCTTCAAGCTCGAAGCTGCAGACATTGGCGGACCCATCCCCGAGACATTCCACGAGCTCAAGAAGGCCCTTCCTCGCATTCTGGCCCAGGCTGCCATCGTTTCGCGCGACCGCCTCGTGCTCTTGATTGACGGTCTGGACCAGCTCGATGACACCCACCAAGCGCGCACTCTCGAGTGGCTGCCCGTTGGTGCCAATCTCCCGTCGTCCGTGACGCTGATCTTGTCCGCGGCCACATCCGAGACTGGCCACTCTGAAATGGCCGACGCTCTCATGCGCGTGTCGCAGCCCGTGCAATTGGTTGTGGGCCCGCTCAACCCGGTCGACAAGGCCGATGTGATTCGCGGCGTGCTCAACCGCTACCGCAAGCAGCTGGACGAGACCCCCTTCAACGACCAGCTCAAGCTGCTCACCCAGAAGAAGGACTCGGCCAGTCCACTCTATCTCACCGTCGCATGCGAGGAGCTGCGCGTGTTTGGCGTCTTTGAAAAGGTCAGCGAGCGCCTCAACAAGATGTCGCCCACCCTGGCCCAGCTGTTTGACGAGGTGCTTGCTCGTTTGGAACTCGATCACGGCCGTGACATTGTCCGCTCCGCCATGTGCCTGATTGCTTGCTCGCGCTGCGGCCTGGCAGAGGACGAGCTTTCGGCGCTGCTTTCGAACGTGCTGCTTGCGCGACCCGCCACGGCAACGCCTGCTACTACCACCCGCGCTGGCGCCGCGACGTCGCTGTCTGCAGGCGACACGGTCGATGCATCGCTGGCCCACGGGACGGTGGTGTCGACGCCCATTGCCTTCCGCATGCTCCCCCAAGCGGTTGTGACCTCGTTCTTGCGGGCCGTCGAGCCCTACCTGCGGCCCCGCGACGAAACCGCCGACCAGCCTCTGGATGCCTTCCATGCGGAATTTGTTCGAGCAGTCTACCAGCGATACGGGCTCAGCAATGAGCGCGAGTGTGCTCTGTACTTTTCCATGCTGGCCGACTACTTTGCCAGCGAGGCAGACCCGCGAGGCAACGGCTCCTTTGCTGGTGTCCGCCGACGCGCGTTTGCGGACTTGCCATACTATCTGGGCATGGCGCGGCAATGGAAGCGGCTCGAGGCGGTGCTCACCAGCATTGCGTTTGTTCAAGGCAAGTGCGCCATGGGTCTGGCCTACGACCTCGTGGGCGACTACACGATTGACACTCGCATTTCCACGAGCTTTGCCAAGGACAAGGCGCGTGCATTGTCGGCGGCCAAGGTTCAGCAGTTTGGCATGTTTGTCACGCGCCAGGCGCACATCCTGACATCGCGACCCGGCATCACTGCTCAGCAGGCCCTCAACGAGCCCGACGGGTCGGCGCCAGCCGTCGCAGCCCGCCAGATGCTTGTCCACCAGTTGCAGGCCAAGGTCAATCCTGCCCTGCTGGCTGCTCCTCTGGTGGGGTCGTCCGTCCGCCAAGCCCAAGCCGCCATCGCCCCGGCCGAACGACTCGTGTCGGCGGGAGTCTCCGCGCTTGTGGCCGCGACGCCTGCTCGCTACCGTCAGCAGCCTGAGCGTTCCAATGACGTTGACATTTTGACGTTCGACTGGTCCAACAAGCCTGCCGTTCACGACCGCGCTCGTCTGACGATCGGCGGCTACGCCAAGCCGGCATCCAGCGTCGCCATCTCGCCCGACGACTCTCGCCTTGCCGTCGGCTGCGGCGACACGGTGCTTCGCCTGTATGAGTTTGACACCGGTCGCGAGCTTCACGAGCTGCGAGGCCACGCCACTCCGATTGCGGATGTTTGCTTTGCCGGTCCCAAGCGCCTGTGCAGCTCGAGCACAGACGGCATCATCATTTTGTGGGATGTCGACACTGGGCGCAAGGTCGCCGAGCTCAAGCGCCACGGCCGTCGCGTCAACGCGGTGCGAGCCGATCCTGCCGGCAAGCTCATTGTTTCGGCCGGTTGGGACTGCATTGTCCGCGTGTGGTCTGCGCAAGACGGTACCGAGCTCGCCATGCACCGCGGCGAGTCTTCGCCTGTCAACACGGTGTGCTTCCATCCCGAGGGCCAGTTTGTCGGCTTGGGCACATGGGACGGCTCGATCAAGATTTGGGACTCGTTCAACCGCGTTGTTGTCCAGACCATGCTCACGCCCCGCGCTGTGCAAGACCAGCTCATGATTGAATCCTCTCCGGACGAGGCGCCCAAGCCATCTTCTGTGCGCGCGTTGGTCTACTCCCCGTCGGGTCGTCACCTCGCTGCGGCTACCCTGAACGGCAACGTTTCCTTGTACTCGACTCTGACGGGTCTGTGCATGGGCACGTTCACGGGCCATTCGCGACCCATCAATGCGCTCGCCTTCTCCAAGCTCGGCGGCAATACGCTGGCTACCGCTTCGGAGGACGGCAAGATCAAGCTGTGGGCATCGCACCTCGGTCGCCGTGAGGTTGCCATTCCTGGCAACGGCGAGGAAACTGGCGCTGTTGGGTGCGCCGTCCCCTCCCTGGACGGCCGGCTGATTTTCGTCGGCTACCACGAGTGCTTTGCCAAGATCTTTGACGCTGCCTCCGGCATTGAGCTCGTGACGCGTATCGGAGTGCCAGTCTCTGGCGTGTCGGCTGCTGTGTGGTACATGTCCGGCGCCGATCTGATGCTCACGTACGGCACCGAAGAGGGTCGTCTGCACACATTCAACGTGACGGACGCTCGAAATTCCGGCGGCGTGGTCAAAGTGGTCGAGGTGGGCGAGCTCCAAGCGCGCGAAGGTGGCGTGACTTGCATTGTCGTCTCCCCAGTCACTTGGCGTCACCGCCCTTCCAGCTTGGCAGTCGGCTCGATGGACATGTCGATTGCGCTCTACACGCCTGTCGCCGTTCCCGAAGAATACAGTGCTCAGAACCGAAAGAAGGGCAATGTTGTGGACACGAGCTTGCTGCCCACGCATGTGATGCGTCATCACAAGGGGCCCGTGACGGCTTTGGCGTTCACTGCCAACGGCGCGAACTTGTTCTCGGCGAGCCGCGACACCACGATTGCCTACTGGACTGTCTCGACTGGCAAGCAGGTCGAGCTGGCAGGATCGCCCAACTGCCGTCACTCGGATTGGGTGAACGCGCTCGCCCTCTCTTCGTGCGGTACCTGGCTCGTGTCCGCCTCGAACGACTTTACCCTGAAGGTGTGGGAAGCTTCGACGCTCAACCTTTTCTCAACGTTGACCGGCCACGGCGGTGCCGTTTCGGGCTGCGCCATTTTCGGCAGCGGCGAGACTGGCATTCGCATGCCCAAGCAAAAGGCCAAGTCTGCTGACGACGCAGAGGCTACATCGGACACCATCATTGAGGACGGCGCCGAAGCTCCTGCATCTGCCTCCTCCGCGTCAGGCGCTGGCCGTGGCGGCGCTCGCGGGGGTCGTGGTGGACGGGGTGGCTCTCGTGGCGGCGGCATGGCTGGTCGCGGCTCTTCTGACGCGGGCGATGCGGCTCGCGATGCTAGTGACGACGCGCCCACTGGACCCGCAGCAGCAAAGGACGCGTTGATTGCCTCCCTCATGCCCAAGAACTCGGCCGCTGCAGCCAAGCTTGTTTCGCAAATGTCCCTCAAGACGGGCAACCTTGTGGTGGCGTCGTCGAGCTCGGACGGCACCGTCAAGTTGTGGATGCTCAACGGCAGCGAAATCACCACGCTGCAAGGCCACAACCACCGTGTTGCGGGGGTTGCCTTCTACATTGACTACTCGGCCGAGGACGCCGCACCTACCGCTGGCTCGCGCTCTGCTCAGGGTCTGGCAGCGTCTCTCAAGGACATGCGTCGAACTCGTGTCGCGACTGGCTCGGACGACGGTGCCGTTTACCTTTGGTCTCCCTTCCTGGGCAACGAGGTCGATGCGCTGGTGGGTCACGCAGAGAGCGTGGACGCGGTCGCCTTCTCGGACTCGGGCAAGCTCGTCTCGACTTCGCTCGATATGACGGTCAAGCAGTGGAGCATTGCAGGCGTTGGAGGCGCGTTTGGCAACCAGCAAAAGTCTGCAGAGGATGTCGACCGCGCAGCGCGCGATCGTGTCTCGTCCACGCACAATGGCCGGGTTACCGCCGTGCGCTTTTACGAGGAAGACGGCACGCGAGCGGCCTCCACTTCTGCGGACGGCACCGTGGTGCTGTGGGACCTTTCGCAGCTTGTCAAGCATGCCGGTGTCAGCTTGTTGAACTTTGCCAACAACGACAGCTCAGCCAAGTATGCCAACCAGCTGTACCTGCACCAGCTGTCGATCGCTGCTTCCGAGACGGCCGTTCCCGTGCCCGTCTGCAAGTTTAGCGTCCAGCAGGGTGTTTCGACCAACGACGTGGCTTTCTTGAACTCGCCGGACGCGCTTGTGGTGGCCTCCAGCAGCTCGTCGCGCGGTTTGCAAATGTGGAAGCTGACCTCGACCAAGCGCAAGATTATCACCACGCCTGGGTCTCCGCTTCAGCCCCCAGCGGCCGACAGCAAGCATGGACCACTGCATCATGTCAAGGTGCATTCTGCTGGTGCTGGTGCTGCTTCTGCTACAGCTGCCGTGCAAGAGTTGACGGCGACGGCTGGTCGGCGCCTCGAGGGTCACAGCTCGGTCGTTTCCTGCGTGGCCTTCTCGCGCACGCACGACGTGTTGGCCTCCGGCTCCTGGAACGGAAGCATCCTTCTCCACAATGCCAAGGGCGACCGCATTGCCACCATCCAGAAGCGTCATGCCAACTGGATTTCGTCTCTTAGCTTTATGGGTGATGCGCCCTTGCTGCTGTCGTCGTCGGCAGACGGTACCGCGGTTGTGACGCACGTCAAGGACAAGTCGCAGGCTCTTGTTCAGACGATTCGCAATCCAAGCGGCGTGTCTGCAAAGGGCCATGCTTCGTCTGGCTGGCTGACGGGCTCGGTTGCCCACCCAACCACCGGTGCCATCGTTTCGGTTGACGTGGCTGGCAAGCTCTTTGTTGCCAAGGCTTCGAAGGCTGCCGGCAAGGCGCTGCGCCTGCACTCGCGTCGCATCTCTGCAGTGCGCACCCTGCGCATCCAGCCTGTCGATGGCCGTCCAGCAATGGAGTTGCTCATCACCGCCTCCGAAGACAGCTCCATCAAGGCCTTTGATCTCGTCAAGTCGGTCCAAGTGGCCGAGTTTATTGCTCGCGCGCCCTGCACATCGCTCAGCGTGTTCAACTCTGCCGGTCGCGCGATCATTGCTGCCGGCGATTCGCTTGGCTTTGTGTACTTTTTGACTCTTGTTGTGTGATTGTTGTTGTTGTGTGATTGTTGTTGTGTGTCTTTGTTGCAGTGTCCATTTCAATTGGATTGAATTTTGTTCGATTGCCTTTTTTTATTTCTGAGCAGTTCAGTTCAGTTTTCCAATTCTTTCTCCCTTTTGACTCCACACTCCACTCTTTCCCCCCCCCCCACCCCACCCCACCTTCGCGCCGGACCAAGTTGTTTTTTTTCGCACCCCCATCAATGTCTGCTGCACCTTCCCTGCCTGCCTTGCCCGTCCATGCGAGCGTTGCCGCACTCACGTCGGATCCCGCCGCGACGCACGAGGCCATCCGGTTGCTCCGCCAGCAGCCCTTCCCGGCGCTCCGCAACGACCTCCTCCTGCGCGCTGCACGCCACCAGCCCACCGAGCGCGTCCCTGTCTGGGCCATGCGCCAGGCCGGCCGCTACTTGCCAGGTGAGCCCACCGCCGCCAGCCCGACGCTCTCCACTCACTGACGGCTCAATCTCACTCGTCTTCCCCCCATCGGTGTCTCTCACTGCAAAAATCTGTGTGTGTGCGTTGCTGTTGATTTTGACAGAGTTTCGCGAAATGCGCGCCGAGAGCGACTTTTTCAAGGTCTGCAGGACACCTCAGCTTGCCTGCGAGGTCACTCTGCAGCCACTCCGGCGGTTTGAGCTCGATGCTGCCATCATCTTTTCGGATATTCTTGTCGTTCCGCAGGTATGCAACGGGGTTACGGGTTGGTTGTATGATATTATTTTTTGTGGAACCAGGCTTGGCGTGAGATTCGACTAAGATTGACGTTCGTGCGGTTGTAGGCGCTTGGCATGCATGTGGACATGATCAAGGGCAAAGGTCCGTCCTTTCCGGAGCCGCTCAACACACCGGAAGACCTGGCACGCGTCAAGACGGAGGTCAACGTCGACGAAGCGCTGGGCTATGTGTTTGACGCACTCACGCTGACCCGCCATTCCCTCGATGGACTTGTGCCGTTGTTTGGCTTTGCCGGCGCCCCGGTATGCGCTTATTTTATTCTATAGCTGAAATACGTGTGGCTGTTTGTGTGTTTGTGTGCTCATTTCCGTTTGACTCGTTTGTTCGTTCGTATGCTCGTTTGGACTCGTTTGATGTCATACATGATTGAGGGCGGTGGCAGCAAAACGTTCGCCAAGGCGAAAACTTGGCTCTTCAAGTACCCAGAGGCATCGCACGAGCTTTTGCGACGCATCACCACCGTGACGATTCGCTATCTTGTTGGACAATTCGCTATCTTGTTGGACAAGTGCGTGCAGGAGCACAGGTACGACACTGCTGGTCTAGCAAAGCATTTCACTCTTCGCTGCGCTCAGATTCTCCAAGTGTTTGACTCTTGGGCCGGTGAACTCAGCCCTACCGAATTTGCCCAGTTCGCCTTGCCATACTTGAAACAAATTGCTGTTGAAGTCAAGCGCGCCTGCGTCGAGCAGCTGGGCATGACCGAGGCGGTGCCCATGGTCGTGTTTGCAAAGGGAGCACACTTTGCCCTCGAGGAGCTGGCGTCGCCAGCAACTGGCGGCGGCTACGACGTCGTGGGGCTCGACTGGACCATGCCCCCGCAATCGGCTCGTGCCCGCGTTGCTTCCAGCGGTGTTGCCGTCCAAGGCAACCTCGATCCCTGCGTTTTGTTTGCGCCCCACTCGCAAATCGAGGCGCAGGTCACAAGCATGCTTGCGCAGTTTGGAACTCAAAACTATATTGCCAACCTCGGCCACGGGATGATGCCCGAGCATTCTCCCGAGGCGCTTCGGTGCTTTGTGGATGCCGTCCATGCTGTTTCCGCGCGCATGAATGCAGCATAATCAACACACACACAACATTGTTCTTCTTCCTTGCGTGTGCCCATTTCTGCTTGTTTCTGCCGCGTGCTGTAGTGAGCTATTGTCTTTCGAGTGTTTGAATTAATTGTGCCAAATTTCCGTCCATACTCCGAGGTGCAGCGACTTGCAGAGCACATTCGAGGATAGCTTCACCACTCTGCGATCATTCAGTGTGCTGCGCGCCTTGCCAGTAATGCTTTGTCACAATGAGGTCGGCAATCTCAGTTGGTAAAGATGCGGACTGAGCGCCAGTCAAGAAGCAAAACACCGCCTGAAGGTCATTGTCATTCTAGGCGAAGGGTAACACTGTAATTATACAAAAGGGAGGGTGCAGAGCAAAGGGGTTGTGGCGTTTCAAGGCGGCGACACAAATAACGCGTCCAATTTCTTTCCAAGGGCATTGACTTCGTTGTTGGGTACGCGTGGATCATCCCGGAACGCATACCTCAGAGTCGGATCGAAGGCAAACGAGGTGAATACAGCCTTGGCAAGAAAATGAAGCTCGACTGCGGCTGGGGTCGCAGGAACGGAATATGGGAGGTTGCCGGCCGGGTAGACCAGCTGATGATGGGACGCGGAGGCTGCATGTAGGTGGGCCCAGTCAAACCAGTCAATACGACGAGCCGGAGTGTTTGCAGAGCGTGGACTGCCGGCGACAAATTTGTTGGCAAAGCGCGCAGGAAGCGTTGCAAATGCTGCTTCTTCGCTGGGAGGAACTTCGACCAGGTATGCAACGTAGCGACCAGGCATGTGCCACATTGCGGCGGCATGTTTGCACATGCCAAGTAGTCGGTCAATGGCTGCGGTGTCACTCGCGTCTTCCCAAAGCGCTCTGTCCCACACACACGGCGGAAGGAGCGCCCCAAAGCTGAGCGACGACGACAAAACACAACATGCAACAACAGCACATCCCTGTGGCAAAATCAATCTCTTACCCGCCTGTTTCCTCCTGAAACTCACGAACAGCGGTCAAAAGCGGGTTCCGGAGGTCCTCGGCTTCGACTTTGCCGCCAATCAATGTGACAAACAAGTTGTGGCCGTTCGCAGCTTTCGCCTGGACGTGACGCAATGCATTTCATCATCACGCCAAGTGAGAACTCACACACATATACCCACAGTATGTCATACAACACACTGGTATGATGATCATCTCCAAAGCTTTGTTGCCTGCTTGCTACCGGGGACGACAGCTTTGCCTTTCCAGGACGCGGTTCCTCGCAGAGCAACAATGAAAAGGCGTTGGCGTCCGGATGGCGACGGAAAAACACGAGGCCAGCAGCGGCATAATCTTGAATCTCCTGCGGTCTGATTCGACCCGAATAGCTGGATGTCAAGGTGGGAGGAGGCCGCGATGGGCTCGCAGCTGCTGAGCGCGGGGACGACGCGGCTGCTGGACTCGCAGCCTTCTTGGGCACTCTGACGCGGGGGGACTTTGTGCTTTGTGCTTGTGCTTGTGCTTGTGCTTGTGCTTGTGCTTGTGCTTGTGCTTGTGCTTGTGCTGCAGACGACGGCGATGCAGGTGACTGGAGTCCCGGCAACGAACGGGCTGCCGGTTGAGCGTCAGTTACCGCTCGTACCAAGGGTGCTTGATCGCTGCTGCCCAGAGTATCATTGGGCTCAGCGGCGCAGCTGGCGGGCTCAGTTGGCACGCTCGGCTTTACGTTCACAGCGGCATCAGCATCAGCATCAGCATCGGCATCGGCGTCGGTGTCGGCGTCCAGTCGCACAGGTCGTGCTGGCAATGATGATGATGCCATGACCGCCCCCACTCAATGCAATGCAATGCAATGTAGTGTAATGCAATGCAATGCTAATATTGCTTGTTGGTAAAGCTAAATCGGAGTGTGGGGAAAGCAGCAACGACGGCGGTTTGACTTGAGGACTGAGCGTTGATCCTCCCCTTTAACTGTGAGGGTTTTGAGGGGGTCATCATACACTTGTCCCATACAAAATGCACTGATATCTGATATTGCAGTCGACCAAGCAAGCAAGGGGCTCAGTTCTTCCCGTTCCTTCTCCACAGTAATGGTGCTGGCTCGCGTGGCTGCGACTGCTCGGCTGCCAAGCGTCTCGACCGTCCCCAGACTCAGTCGCAAGAGCGATGACTGCGCTCTGCCGCCGTGTTCGCTGCTCCATGGACTTGCCACGTCTGCAGCGGCGGCGATGGTGGGCGCGCTCAGTGGCAGCAGCAGCAGCACAGCGCATGTGCGACTCGCATGGCAGCAGCCGCGCCGCACCGCATTCATCCGACCGCATGTCAATGCATTCACTGCGTACCACATGCAGCCCAAGCCAGACGTCACCGCGGAAGAGTGGGCCGCAATCTACCCGGCGCCACGACAGCCACTCCTCGTTGACTTTGGCTGCCACAGCGGTAACTCAATCCCAACCCCATCCCAACCCAGTTGACGAAGTCCATCTCCCTCGTTGTAGTCGGGTGTTGATCTTTGATTTAGTTGTGGGGTTGCTGGCGGATTTTACGCGCCAAGAAGAGAATACATTCACTTCAACTCACCGTACATTGCCCCATTGCCTTGAAACCTTTGCTGCATAGGCCGCTTTCTAAGATCGCTCAGCACTTCAGAGGCAGGACAAGCAACGCCATGGAATTACTTGGGTCTGGACATCCGGGAAGAGTACATTTCGCGGGCCATCGCGAAAGCACAGGCCATTGCCGCCACAAAGTCCCGGCTCTCGTACCGTGTTTGCAACACACACGCTCACCTGCAGTCTACACTTGGCCAGTACCCTGGTCCGGTCGCAATGGTATCGTTTCTCTTCTCGGATCCCCAATTCAAGCAACGCCATCGCAAACGGCGAATGATCAATCCGCTGTTCATCAAAGAACTCGTCCAACTTCATCGCCTGCGCCTCCATAGCGAGGCACAGCTCATCGCACAAGGCTCCGAGCATTCCAGTTCACAGATCTCTGAAGGCGGCGACCGACCTCTAACGCAACAGAAGAAGACCAGCACTCCACTGTTAATCCTGTTCAAGTCCGACCTGCCACTCGTTGGCGAGGATTTGCTTGAAGCTCTCGCTGCCCCAGAGTGCGCACAGGTGGCGCAGTTTCACTCTGTGGACTTGGTGCCACTGATTGAACACGGCTTGGCTCAGCGAGCAGCTGCAGGGCAGCACCCACTCGCTCAATTCCCAGACTCCCCGTCCTCTACCAGCATCAACACAAACCCACGCTACGAGTTTATAGACTTGAATGGGTGGATGGACATGGCGAAAATCAATGGTATTTCGTTTGACCCGAATGCAGTCAACTCCATTGGACACACCGTCTCGCCTCGCGAGGCAATTCCAAAGCACATGTGGCCAGTTTTATCGGAAGCAGTCACGACATGGTCTGAGCGGGAAATTTGCACGCGGAGCGCTAATCAACCTGTATATGCACGATTGTTGCAATTGAGACAATGACAAATAGAATCAACAACACTCTTTCTCAGTTCAGCTTTACAAGTTTTTTGTTCCATATTACAATATTAACATGCATGCATCCCCGCTTCAACAGCTTCTTCCATCCCGCTTGCATGCCTCGCGGAACCCGAAAAAAAAAACATGACGAGAACACAAAAACTGTGCGTTGCTGCGCGACTTCTAGAGAATGTTACACCCGTTTCGATGATCGATGCTGGCAAAGGCGTCCATTTCATCCATTTCTTCAAGCATGCGCGTTGAACGCCAAGCTGGAGGGGGAGTTTGCGGCGGAGCAACGATCACGCCGGCTTCTTCGGCGGCACCTGCTGCAGGTCCTCTGGCACCCGGCCCGGCGACAGTTAGAGGAACGGCGTTCGCCAAAGTGGTTGCGGCAGTGGCCGTGGCACTCGTCGACCGAGGGCGCCTCAAGAAGGCGCGAGCGAGCATAATAACATGAGCTGCACGCGCGCCAACGTGGAAGCCCTCGTGCTGGGCGTGATTGGCCTGGCGATCGGCGCGCTGTTGATTCTCGTTGTTGTTATCGTGATCGGTGGCAGCTGCTCCGGGAAGCGGAAGCAGGAATGAATGAACGCGAACGCGACCGAGAGGGGAAGCTGGTGGCGTTGTCGAGAACGAGCGGCACAGCGACGTCTTGCGTTGCCGTGACAGGAGAATCTCGAGCACCTCGGCCTGATGCTCCTCGGACTGGTGGTACAGTAGATCAAACACTGTACGCTCTCGGTCTTCTTTGAGGTGCTTCAAGAATGCTTGCACCCCTTCGCGACTGACGAGGCGACAGTCGTAGATCTGCACCGAGCTCAGCCACTTGCACACGCGCAAGTGGTCGAGCGCGGTATCCGTTAGCAGCGAGCAGTTGTCCAATTCGACAGTATCGAGGTATGGGCAACCGTTGGCCAGCAGTCGGATGCCATCGTCCGTGAGCAGATCGCAGTTGGAGAGAATGATGCGTGCGAGGCGCCGGTTGTGTCTTCCAATGTCGCGCAGGCTCTGGTCGGTCAACCGAATGCAGTCTTCCAGATCCAGGCACTCGAGACGAGGGCAGTGCTTTGCGATGGCCTCCACGCCAGCATCAGTGACACGCACACAGCCGGCGCATTCCAGAGACAGCAAATCGGGACACGCTTCACCCAGACACTTGAGAGCAGCGTTAGAAATCAATGGGCAATGGGAGATGCACAGCCTTTCGAGTTTTGGGCAATGCCTTGCCAGTGAGCGAATGCCTACGACGCGCGAGTTTCCGAGAGGGGGTGAGAGCAACGAATACATTAAGGGTGGTTTTTCAAGCATGCATGTCAAGAATGCGTTCTGCGTACCAACGTCGCCCACACAGATACAGGCAGTCAGGTCGATGCCCCGCAACTCTGGACACGCGGCTGCGAGTACGTCCAACCCGGCGTCTATCATTCAAGCCAAGTTGGTCGTAAGTTTGACGTGCGCGACATGAAAATCACTTGAGAAATGCACCTACCAGTTATGCGTGAGCATCCCTTCAAACGAAGAAAGCGCAAGCGTGTGGTAAAGTGTGCGCCAAACTGGGATCCAGTGTCGGTCGCATACAGCTTGAGCCCGAAGCGTCCCATCATTGAGCACCAAGAGACATCAAGCTCTTCCAGCTCACTACAAACCAAGAAAGGGTGGAATTGTGAGGGGTTCACTCGTGCGTGTGTGTGGACAAGACACCGATGCTTACGGGCAACCCCGAGCGAGGAACGGGAACATCAAGTCGGTTATCTGCGTGCAATTTGCGAGAGACAGGCGTTTGATGGCATGGCATTCGACGCTGATGGCCTGTAGGTGGAACAAAACGCGTGAAAACAAGATTGAGCAAAAGGAACAGGAGCGCACAGTTCGACGAACAAACGTAAACTTACCTGGACTGTAAAGTCAGTCAGGGCAGTGCACTGCGAAAGATTCAGATCTTCAATGTTATGGCAGTGGCGTGCGAAAACTCGGATCGCCTTGTCATAGACATTTTCGCAGCCGTACAAGCTCAACCGACTACGAAAAAACAAACAAGACAAAAACAGCCAAACTTGCAATCAGCTACAGGGATGATCAAATAAAGGCTCTTTTGTCGCAGCTGGCGGCAGCGACGTGTATCTGGAAGCACAAACCGGAGGAAATTGCCACAGCGCCGAGCAATGTGCTCAATGTGCGAGTCTTGAACGTGCTTTTGGAAGGCAAAAAAGTCAATGTTTTGCCACAGGCTGCCATCCAGGGCAAGAAAGTTCCAGTACTGCACCAATGGAAATGCGCCAGTGCGCGAGTTATGGTCAGAACGTTGGTAGGCCCAAGAAACGGCAACCAAGAACAAGTGGACGAAGCAAACAAAATGCCCGTTACCTTCGAGACTTGAGCACATCGACAAAGTGACACCACATCCATGTGTGAAAAGATTAAGAGCATGACTTCCGGAGGAAGCTTCTCGTGGATCAGCGGGCCCGCCTGGACGTCAAGCTGGTCGAAGTTCGCCAAAAGTTGTTGAAAAGGTTGGCCAAAAATTGACACACAAGTCTGCGCCAATGCCATCAATTCTTCTCATTATTATTATGATTGTTACCAGCGTATAAATGCTCGATGACTTTGTTACTGGAAGCACATCGCTTCCCGACCGCGAGGGGCGAGCTTCGGCTTGCAGGTACAGATGCGAGGCAGATTTCTTGGCAGTGTCACACATGGTGGTGGCGTTGCGGACGGACTTTGTCCTGCAGAAAAAGCCGCCGGGTCGGAAGAGAGCTCTAGTAAATAGGAAGCTACACAAGTGGAACAGAACATGCCATTCGACGTTCAGCGAGAGGTCAGTTGAGCGAGCAAACAACCGGAAAGGGCGTCATCAGAAAATAACAACAACAACAATAAACAACCCAAACAATGTCGATGGTCGCTCGTCTGCGATGCGCAAAACGGTGACAATACAAGTGCTGAATAAGAGAGCAGTGAGAGTGCGCGCAAAAGCGAAGCGGAGTGGTCGAGAATGGACGGCATGGCTCAGTGCAAACACAAAGAATAATAACAAAAAAATCATTTGGTGAAACGCCGACAGAGATGACACACATGAAATGCAGTTGTCCTTCAGACAGCAGGCAGCACCTCTGCAGAAGAGCACAAGCGAGGTTGTGTACAAAGTTGAAACTACTAGGTGCGCAGCAGTGGCGCAGTTGGAACAGAAGCCTCACGCCAAAAAAGTTTCGCCTCCCCAACCTGAGCGAGTCAATTCTCTCAAGTCGTGTGTTGTGGTTGGATGCATATGCTTTTCATTGCAAACTGGGAAGAAGACATACACGCACACACAAGAAGATGGACTGAGCCAATTGTTTTTTTGGTTTGTGTTGTTGCTGCTAACAAAAAAAAAAAAACCGCCATTCAGTCTTCTGCTCTCAGTGGCCGCGAGCAGCAACAGGCTGTTGAGGAGGCTGGACAAACTGCTGGATGGTCTCGGTGAACATGCCCTGGATGCTGTTGCCAAAGTAAATCTTGGTGTTGTTGGCTAACGATTGATACTTGATAACCTCGAGGTACAATGGAGTGTACAAAAGCTCGTTGGCCTCGGCACGCTTCGTGGCACTGTAGAGGTCGGCATCTGCACGAGCCTTTTGCTGGGCAAGGAATGTGGCATCTATCCAGGCAACAGACGGCTGAGCGATGGCAAGCATCCGAGTGTCCGAATCTTTGCTAACGATTATCGCTGTTCCGTACCTTGGATCTCGGACACGCTCTGCTTGCTCCGCTCCTCTGCAATGTTTTGCTCATAGCGAATTCGAGCAACTGCGGCCTCCTTTTCAGCAACTATTGGCAAACCAACAAGGAGAGTGAGACTGGGCGGTGTCGCCATTGCGCGTTCCAAAATGCGGCGGCCCGCTTACCAATCATTGCACGCTTGCGTTCGGTTTCAGCCTCCTGCTCGACGACCTTTTGGCGCTGAACGGCAAACAGCAGCTTGGTCTTTTCCGCCTCCATCTGTTTTATGTTTTGGAGATTGCATTTTGACAGCACAATGCTCCTGAAAGTGAGACCCAGCAGAGGACAACCAATTGTGGACATCATCAAGTCATCATCGGCGTACGTTTTCATAGTTTTGGAGGATGCTCTGTAGACGACCAGCATAAAACCGTTGGACAACGAGCAATTGAAAAAATGAGATGAGAACATCGCGCCAATCACCATCCAACTAGACGTGCTCTCCAATCACTTGATTCACATACCTGTGGGAGTCGAGGCTTGGTGACTAGGCAGGAAAGAAGAAGAGGACGAAACAAACCGATCACAAAAAGTTTTAAAGTTTGAAAACCCGCATCACGTCGCTAGCACAGATGTCAAAATCCAGAACTACTCCATACCTCGGACAGCTTGAACACGGACGCCAGGCGCCCATTGATCCAAGCTGCGTTGCAGGGCGTTGAAAATGCTCTCGTCGATGCGGTCGAACATGTCAATGTAGACCTCCTGCAGCGTGTGAGAGCTGCAAAACTCGTTGATTTCATGGTGAATTTTGTTAAAGATCAGCAGCTTGTCATAGTCGACTTTGGGAAGCAAATTGTGAGGAGGGGGTGCGACATTGTTTGTTGGAAAGTGAGTGTGACCTTTGGGCACATTTTAGGCGCAAGAGATCGTCCTCCAGTGAAACCATACCAGTGTAATTCTGTGCAAGAATGCCATACATTGCGCACTGTGAGCTAAACAGAGCTTGGCACGTCGCAAGATCTGGTCCTGCAATGCTGTGACCGTTACCTTGACCGTATCGTACACGAAACGCTGATCGAGCATGTTCACGACCTCCACGCGCTCAAATGTGATGATGACGCCTCCGCTGGTGCCACAAGGAACATCGCGGACCTCGTCTCTGCATTGGCACCCGATTTCAGTTTGTCAGTTGTGAGATTCGAGGAGTTAGGAGCCAATTTTCTGCTGGCAACGCGTTGGAGGTCTCACGTCTGAAGAGTGACTTGGATGTCGTGGTGCGTTGTGATGAACGGCAGCATGACGTGATATCCTGGCGCAGTGGTCTCCTTGAGCAACGCGCCGCCCTGTCGTGAACGCAGTTGATGACAAACGAACGTCAGTTCAATCGTTCAATCTGCCAGCATGCTGAGCTGGCAGCTCAAAAACCGCCGCTTACTCGCTTGTAGATGCCAACATGGCCTGGATTTTTTTGTAATGAATGAATGAATGATTGGAAATTTGCGCACACAATGCAATAGTGACGAGCGAGTCAATGTCAGCGTTGTCAGTTCTGTGTGGATGTGGGATTTTGTTCATCCCAAATCATCTCTCAATCCTAACAACGCTCGAGCGACGCCGACCTTCTTCCACGCGATGGATGGATGCGTTGATCAGCATGATTGCGATTGCAAGCAGCCCAATAAGTGTACTCGCGAAACTCATTCCGAAAACACCCCTCCTGCAGAAATCTAGATCCAGAATGCCAAAAAAAACTTGTGTAAAGATCGAAAAAAACAAAAAAAAAAAAAAAAAAAAAAAAGGTGACTGAAAAATATGAAGCGTTGAAAAAAAAAATCCTAAAATAATGCATCAAACAATGAAATCGAGTTGCCTTTTTGTTCACTATTTTGTTTTTTTTTTTTGGTTTCTTTGCTTTATATTTTAGTCAGTCTTTTGTTTCGATTTTATATTTTTTTATTATTATTATTATAATAAAAAAATGTCGTGGATTTTGTAAGGTTTTTTTTTGTGCTTTTTTTGCTTTTTTTTTTTGCTCTGCTTCTGCTGCGTCGCTGCCCGTCGCCGCGCATCCCGACATCGTCCCACATTGGAGACACGTCTCGACTTGCTTGCCCCTGCTCAGCCACACCTGCTCGGGCGCATCAGAGCGATCCAACACGCAATGGATCTACCAGCTCTTTTTCTTTTTCTTTTTCTTTTTTTTTTTTTCTCCTCGTGTTTTTTTTTTTTTTTGAGTGTTTTTGCGGTCGTTTTGCGGTCTGTCTTTGGCGCTTTGTTTCTGCTGGTCTACCATTGATGTGGGGAAACTGCGCCTCTCTCCCCCAGCAACTTCAAAGCAGATGCAAAGCAAGCAAAAGGAGCACAGGGGTTTGGTTCTTGGCTGGCTGCGCGATGCGAAACCCCTACGCCATGCCGACGATGTGACGAAATCGAAAAAAAAAAAAAAAAAAAAAAAAACTCCACAACAATAAAAAAAAAAAAACAGAAATAAAAAAAATAGGCAACGGATCTGAACAACCAGCGTTTTGTTGTTTGTGATTACGAGTGACAGAGGGTAGGGTTGGGCGATTGGGGGAGCGGGAGGGGTTAGGGTTAGGACTGACTGAGATGGGAGTGGAAGGAGAAGTGCCAGCTGAAAACGGCGTTTGGAGACGGACTGAATGGAAGGAAGGCAACGAGAGGCGAATCCCGCTCTTGCTGAAGGAAAGGGGAATAAGGGAGAAAACAAGCAGGGGTTGGACTTGTGTGCATTGAGATGCGGGTGGTCGACCATGCAACCTGTGCATCTCTGCCTGAGACCACCCTGTCGTCAGTCGGAGGAGCTCGCTTGTTTGCCTGTGCGGCTGCTTGCTTGCTGCTTGTGTAGCCACTGTCAGCCTACTATTTCTGAGGCATCCTCGTCGCTCGGTGCCGCGCACGTTCAACGCCACTTGCGGAAGAACAGCAAGGGGATCTCGGCGAGCATGTGTGTCTGCGCGTTGAACCCCCGCCGCACGCGCAGATTGGCTCCATGTCGCTGGGCATCGCGTGAGAGCGAGAGAGCACAGGCCCAAAAAAAAAAAAAGGAATTTTTTATTTTTATTTTTTACGATTATTTATTATTATTATTATTTTTTATTTTGTGATTTTTGAACTTTGTCTTCGAAGGGTGCAGCGCGGTCCGGGGACTGGGAAGAAACAGTCCAGAGACAGTGTTTGCCGTGCGGTCCTTTTGGAGAGTAGCGCACGAAGGAGATTGCAGATTCAGTTCCCATCGAGACAAAACGAATAGCAACAGAAACACCGAAAAAAAAAAAAAAAAAAAAAAACAGTTTGAGTGTGGCAGCAGGCTTGTTGTTGCTTGTTATTGTTAGCGAGGACCACCACCACCACCACCAATCAGCGACACCTCATCAATAGGAAACATGTCGATACTCGCCGTCGACCCACAGGCCCTTTACTGCGCTCACAATGCAGTCCACTGCTTTTCGTGCAGTTGCAGATTCATTTGTTTTACTCACTTTGTTTCTCTGCTTTGTCTCTGCTTTCGTCTGATTTTGCAATGCGCAGCACCAAGGGTTCAAAAACCTTCAAGCCAAAGCGAAACATCCCAGAAGGCACCAAGCAATACCAGCTGAAAAAGTATGCAGAGGCAACTCTTGGCTCGGGCAACCTGCGGCTGGCAGTGACGCTTCCTGAGGGCGAGGATCTGAACGAGTGGGTCGCTGTCAATAGTACGTAGGAAGTCGAACAGGGGATTGACACTGCATAGCGCTGGTCGTTGTGTGGCTTGAGCGGTGTGGCTCATTGTTGCTTGTTTTTCTGCTTGTTTTTCTGCTCTTTTTTTTTCTGCTTGTTTTTCTGCTTGGTCTTACTGTTACAGCTGTCGACTTTTTCAACCAAATCAACATGCTCTATGGCACAATCACCGAGTTTTGCACCGCTGAGGAATGCCCCGTCATGTCCGCAGGGCCAAAGTATGTTCAAGTCTGACTTTTTGTTTGTTTGTTGGTTTGGTTGACCCGCCAACGTTCATGCTAACCTCTCATACCTTCCTCCCTCATTCAGATACGAGTACCATTGGGCAGATGGCCAGAATGTCAAGAAGCCCATCAAGTGCAGCGCACCTGAATACATTGACTTTTTGATGACCTGGGTTCAAGGACAACTGGACGACGAGACTATTTTCCCGTCCAAAATTGGTACGATGCTCTCCTCCTCCTCCCCCTTTTTTTTGATTTGTGTGCCGTCAGTCCTGGTTCAGCACAATCTCATTTTCACTTTGTCCGCACCTTTTCTTGCGCAGGTGTGCCATTCCCAAAGTCCTTCCAGGCAACGGCCAAGAACATTCTCAAGCGCCTCTTCCGAGTGTACGCTCACATCTACCACTCGCACTTTAACAAGATCGTGTCCCTCGGCGAGGAGGCACATCTCAACACCTCGTTCAAGCACTTTATCTTCTTTGTGCAAGAGTTCAACCTGATTGAAAAGAAGGAGCTGGCTCCCCTCGCCGAGCTCATCTCTCAGCTCACCAACAAGGAGTAACAGCGAACGCCATCACAATGAAAAAGCACCAAAAATATTCCGAACATCCCAACCCTTTTTCGGGGGGTGGGGTGTTCCTCGCTCGTTACTTCTCGTGTATTATTTTGTCAGTTACCCTTTTTTTTTTTTCCCGCTTTGTCCATCCTCCTCTTCTTCGTCTTAGCCGTCCATTTTCTTTACCTTGTTTCCGCTCTTTTCGCTCTTTCGGACAAATACGGTCGCTCGTTTCTTTTATTGTACTTCTTGACTTTGTGTTCTTACACTGCTGGATTGTCATCCTGTTCCATTTGATTTTATGGAATTGCCACGGCTGTACTTGTTCCTTGTTGGATGTGTTACTGCTGCTGCTGTTTGTTGTCCTGGAGCGAATTTTTTTTGTTTTCTTCCTTGTTTGTTTTGTTTGCTTGTTTTTACCTCAAAAAATTGCTTAATCGTCATAACTGCTCGATATTGGCTGGAGTCATACGGTATTCGTTATTCTGTATTCGTTGATGTGGATTTGGTGCATTTCACGCAGACCGTTGAAAATGGCGCACACACATTCAAAGATTATCGCTCGACATATCCGACATAAAGGGACTCGTAGACCACATCGTCACAATACTTGGTGGGCAGAACTCGAACCTCCCAGCCCTCGCGCATGTCGTGCATGATAGGAGTGCTCTCTGTCAGAAGCTCAATCGCCGAATCGACGAGAGTCGCTTCGTAGCACACGAGTATTGAACAGCACTCGTCCAGCTTGGCTTGACAGAGTCCGCCATCAACATGATGGCAGAGATGGTTGCGGACGGTCTCGAGCTTGCAAATCCGCGCTCGCTGGAGAAAGATGGCGACCCTGTCAAGCTGGGTGAAGTTGGTGAGCTGAAGAAAATTGCCGCCAAACGCTGGAGTTCTCGCAAACACGATTCAGCGGCGGAGAATGTGGTGGAGGTCCTCCATCACGTCTCGAATGCACTCAACTTGAACTCGTTGTTGTAGCAGCTGATTCAAATAAATCCATCAAAGCGAAATGCTCCTACCCAAAGGTTTTAGCTGTGGTCGAGTTGACAAATCAAAATTTCTGAAAGTGTTTCAAATCTCACAACATTTCCTCGCATTTGCGGCCCACAATAAGCATGTGCAGCATCTTTTATTACTATCGCTCCATCGTTTCCTTTTTTCAGTCTTTTTTTTTTTTTTTTTCTCTGTCTTTGCTTTCTATTTTTGTGCCATTTCTTGGCTTTTTCTTTTTCTTTTTCTTTGTTTTTTTCTCCTGATTGGCAATGTCGCTCTATGCGGCTGGGTATGCCGCCGCGCTCATGGCCGTCCGCAGCGACACGGCTGGCCAGCTTGAGGAGGCCCAGCGCCTGTACATTGACGCTGCAGGTACCAAGCCGACATGCTTCTTCTACTTGCTAACTCTCTCGAGAAGCACCAAATTTGAAAAACTGACTCCCCTCCCTCCCAATTTACACCACACACACACACGCACACAATTGTCATAGAGGCCATGCTGCTCGATACCAAGCGCGACGTAGATCCCCAACGAGTGCAGGCTGTGCGCCAGAAGGTCAAGGAGTACGCCGACCGCGCCGAAGCGCTGGCTGCGTTGGTCCGCCGGCAACAACAGCAACAGCAGCGCGGTTCCAGCTGGTCGGGCTTGGCGTCTGGCTCTGGCTCTGGCTCCGGTCCCGCGAGGAGCCCAGTACGACCCGTTCCAGGAGGAGGCGCTGTCTATAGCACGACTGCGGCAGGGAGAGCGAGCGGCAATGCGGTCGGAGTCGACGACGCAGGCGCTGGTCCCAGTGAGGAAATGGGCGCGTCGCACGCCTCGTCGATCGACGATGACGCAGCGGCAGGCGAGCGTGACGAGGACTTGCTGGCACCCGTCGTGCAACCAACACATCATGCTCAGTCTGTGGGCGTGCCAGCGGCGGGCGCTGCTGTCGTGGGTCGGCGGTCACCCAACAGCAGTGGCGGTTCTGTTGCTGCTGCTGCTGCTGCTGGTCTCGAAAAGCCAGGCACCAACCCGGCAGCCGCCGTCGGACTGACCGCGGAGGAGATTGAGGTGCTTCGAAGCACGTCGTACATTAATGGCAAGGTATTTCCGCCGTGGACGGACGCCGATGCGCGTGAAAACTATTATCGCCTGACCGAGTTTGTGTAAGGCTCAGCTTGCGTCTTCTCACCACCACCACCACCCCCAACGGTGGTCCTGAAACTGAAATCTGACGATTTATTGGTGTGATATTTGTTTGTTTGTTTGTGTTGACTTTTTGTGGGGCACTGGCGCTTCTACCGCATGTTTCGCGACTTTGCCAAAAAACACAAACACCTGTGTCCTTTTTTTTTTTGTTTTTTTTTTTTTTTGTTCCTCTCCTACGACCTGAACTCGTACGCAGAGACCCGGACGGCCCTCTCGTCCTCTCGGCAAAACAAAGCGAATCATTCGTGTCGTGGAAGCGAGCGTCGAGCATGTCACAGTCGCCTGTCATGATTGAATCCGTCTCGGCCTACTCGATTCGTCAAACAGTCGTGTCGGACTGCTCGTTTGTGGCGTCGCTGGCTATTTGCTCCGAGTACGAGCGCAAGTTCCAGAAAAAGGTCATTACGCGATGCATCCATCCCCAAGACGCGCGGGGCCGACCAGTGTTCAACGCCAATGGCAAGTACGCCGTTCGACTCCTCATCAACGGCGTTGCCCGCAAGGTGGTTGTGGATGACTTTCTCCCGTTTGGTCGGGATGCCAAGCCCTTGTGTAGCTTTTCAAACAACCCAAACGAGCTTTGGGTGAGCATTATTGAAAAGGCCTACATGAAGGTGATGGGCGGGTATGACTTTCCCGGCTCCAACTCCAATATCGACATGTTTGCGCTCACGGGCTGGATTCCCGAGGTAAGTAGAACACGAGAGGGGTTTGATTAGGAGGTGGTGTTGTAGATATCAAAGTTGATCAAGCGTGACGCCGATCTTGACTTCTCTCTCTCTCTGTGTCTCTCTCTCTCTCTCTTGTTGTTGCTGCTTGCCTCTTGCCATCTGGCTCTCTGGCTCCCTACAGCGTATCAACATGAAGGCCTCAGAGTTCAAGCCCGATGTGCAGTTTTCCCGTATGACCAATGGCCTGCGGACTGGCGATGTGCTGATGACCATGTCGACCGGTGCTCTTTCGGCAGCAGAGGAGGAGCGGACAGGCTTGGTTCCATCCCATGCCTATGCCATTCTGGACGTTCGATATGCGCAAGGGTACAAGCTGCTGCTTGTTCAAAACCCCTGGAATCACAGGCGCTGGAAGGTGAGGAAGGCTGTCGTCCCCTCGTTCACTTTTTGCACTTTTCGTCACGTTTGTTTTTTCACTGGTAGTCTGCTGATGTTGCTCTTATAGGGTGCCTTTTCGGAGCTCGATGACACGAATTGGACTCCAGCCCTGCTGGCTGAGCTTCGATTCGACCGCAATGCAGCCAGGCAATCTGATAACGGCGTGTTTTGGATCAACTGGGAGTCTGTTTGCCGGTTTTTCGACGTCATGTATTTGAACTGGGATCCCCAGTTGCTGCAGCGGCGGTATACCATTCACTCGTAAGCCAGCCTAACTTTGAGAGTCCGTGTCGTGTTTGTTGTTTCCTTTCGTACTGACATGATTTTTTGTTGTTTGCCAGAGCGTGGCCTTCCTCGGGTCCCGTCAAAGACCTGTACAACCTCGAGTTCAACCCGCAGTATCGCCTTGAAGTAAATTCACCTTCAGCAAAGTCGGTCGTCTGGGTGCTCTTGTCCAAGCACGTTGTCGATAAGGCAGACTTTGCCGACAACCAGGACTTTATCACAAGCCACATTTTCGAGAGTGATGGAGGCCGTATTTATTATCCAGACAACGCAATAATCGAAGGCATCAAAATCAATAGCCCTCATGTCCTTGCCAAGCTGACCGTTCCTGCGGGCAAGCACACTTACACGCTCGTGCTCGCTCAGTACAAGACCAATGCCATTAACTACACTTTGAAGGTGTATGCCTCTGCTCCATTTTCTCTATTGTCTGTTGGCAAGCTGTATCATTACCAACAAAAGGTGAGCTTTAGCAACGGCTGTTTTCTTGGTTGATAAGGCTCGTTTGTGCCGCTTGTCACTGACTTGCTTGCCTTTTCTTTTCTTTTTTTCAACAAACCCCACCTTGGGCGTCTGATCGTCAAGTTAATTGGAAACTGGACGCAAGCCAATGCTGGAGGCTGCGGCAATTATTCTTCGTACTTTAAAAACCCGCAATTCTCGATGCAGGTCGCCCAACCTCAGTCTTCCCTGCTCCTGAAGTTGATGGCTCCCAAGAGCTATCCTGCCGGCATTGCCCTGTATCGAGCAGCTGTTGGCCCCGATGGCACTGAGCGCGTTGACACAACCCACGGCACCAACATGATTGCTTCTGCGCCAAAGTTCCGCCATGGCTTTTGCTATTTGGAAGTCAAAAGCCTCGCGCCTGGGTCTTACATTATCGTTCCGGCTACCTTTGAGCCTGGCCGCATTTCGCAATTCTTCTTGACGGTGGAATCCATCACTCCGGTTCAGCTAGCGCCCCTGGCCGAGGTTGGCGAAGGCGGCAACTATCGCGAGGTGCAAGGAGAGTGGATTGCAGGCAGCTCGGCCGTCGGTAGCGAAAACTCTGGCCACTACGATCAGAATCCAATGTATCGCATCTGGGTGTCAGGCAACACACCGTGTGAAATGTCCGTTCGACTGCGGCTCCCGGGAAACACTGGAGGGGCTCTCCCGCCCGCCCTCAATATCGGCATCTTTGCCATCTCTCCCTCTGCATCGTCGGCGTCTCCTGGGGTCCGACCACGGTTTCTCGCTTCAGCCAAAGCACATACGGGCGATTACGTTAATCCGCGCTGTGGCGTGGTTCTGGGTCGTGTCAAGCTCGACCCTGGCGCGTATCTGCTCGTTCCATCTACCTTTGATCCTTTAGCCTCCAAGTTCATACTGGATGTGACCATGTCTCCCAATGCGACCGTGACTATTGATCCGTTCTAGAGCGAGGGATTTGTACAACATAATAACACGTTTTGAAGTTTTGTTGTTTTTGCCTCTTTGCAAACTTATAGCGTCGATGTTCAAGAATCCTCCAGAAATACAAAAAAGCACGCGAACGAAAAGTCGCATCAGTTGGGAAGCGGTGAAAGGCTGCTGCTGGCACGGAGATTGAAACAATGGCACAAACAAAAAAACTACTTTTTGATGTGAATTCTTGGTGATAATTTTTTTGTTTGTTTCACCAAGTCAACACGAACACACATAGCAAACAGCAAGACTGAATTTCATCAACACATCATCAGATTCAACGCCACTCGGTGCAACATGGCACGCAAAAGGGTTTTAAAGTAGCGGAATCGTCATAACGCAAGTGCAAAAATGCACTCGCCATGTTTTCAAAAGCTCAGAGAGTAAACCAAATAAAAGATAAAAAGCACAAACCACGAAGAAAAAGTAGACGCGACCATATCGGCAAGACAAGAAGGGAAAAAACACATAGAAAAAAAAAAGCGAAAGAACTAAAAAAACGACCGCCCTGCTGCTCGCTGACGCTCAATCGGCCACATGCTCGACACAAGAGAGAAATACCGACCCCGTTTTAGGTAACAAGTAGAGAAGGTTCTCATTGGTGGTGGTGTAATCTGGCGTTAGCGATGGAAAATGCAGCAGGGCTTAACCTCAGCAGCCCTTGGCGCCCGGGTCCAGGCCGCTGGCTCTGGTGATGTCGAGCGTCGTAAAGTTCTCCGAGCAGGTAGGATGGATGCCCACAGTCATGTCAAAGTCGTCCTTGGTGGCTCCCAGACTACCAAAGTCGAGTCAAGTCAGCGTCAAAAACGTGTCCACCACCACCACCACCAGCAGCAAAGCAAAGCAAAGCAACCATCTTACCGGAAAGCCACGCCATAACCTTGCGTAATCTCGCCTGCGTTGGGACCAAGAATGTGCAGGCCGATGACACGCATGTTGTCGAGCTTGTTGCAAATCAGCTTGCAATAGCAGGTGCTGGCGGGGCGATGGGCAACCGTCCACTCGAGCGGCTGGAAGTATTGATGGAAAACCTCAATGTTCTCCTCCTTGTAAAGAGCAATCGCATCCTCCTCGGCCATGCCGATGCAACCGTACTCGAGGGGAGTGAAAACGGTGGTGGGAATGTTTGCGTAGTCCATTTGCGTGGTCGCGCCTCCGTACAAGCGCTTGGCCAGCAGCCGGCCAGCCTAAGCGTCGTCATGAGAAAAAATAATAATAATAGGAAGGAGGCGGGGGAGGGGGAGCGAAGGGATGAGTCCGCGGCAACACAAACCAGAATGCAGCAATCCTTCACGCGCAAATGACGACGACCAGACGCGTACCTGAATAGCCACAGGAGTCAACTCGGGACGCCCGTTAATGACATCGCCAATCGCAAAGACGTTGGGCACGGAAGTCTGTTCCAGTGGAGCATCCACCTTGCCGGATGCGTTGGCCTTGAGCCCGAGTGCCTCGAGGCCGATGGTCGACGTCACCGCCTCACGGCCGATGGCAAAGAGCACGGTATCGAAAACATCCGAGCCCGGCTCGTTGGCAAGGCCATCTTCCCAAGTCACGCGAATGCGATGACGACCCGTGGCGCTGTCGGCTTCGGGCTCAATGCGCTCGAGCGAAAGCGGAACGCAGCGGCGAAGGAACTTGGTTCCATGCTCGCTCATGTACGCGGCGATCTGCTCGGCACATTGCTGGTCAAATCCGCGCAGAAAGATGGAGCGCGCCATGACGGTCGTGTCGTAGCCAAGACCCGTCAGGAAGCCCGCGCATTCGAGCGCAACGTACGAGGCACCAACGACCAGGGTTTTGCCGGGCGCGTATGGCAACGAGAACATGTCGTCACTCGTAATGCCGAGCTCGCGGGCGCCAGGAATGTCCGGGTACTTTGGGCGGCCACCGACAGCAAGCACAAAATGCTCGGCGGTCAAGGTCGTGACCTTGCGCTTCTTGTCCGTGCACTCAATCGTGTGGGCATCCTTGAAGACGCCGTACGCATTCAAGTAGGTCACGTTGTTCTCGCGCAAGGAGACGCGGTAGGCAAAGTTGAGGCCTCCGATGTGATCGCTGACGCCCATCACAAGCTTCGACCAGTCGTGCTTGATGTTGGCCTTTTCGACCTCCCAGCCAAACTTTTCCGCGTCCTACAGCGCAAGTCAAACAAGGGTTTAGAACAGCGGTTTTCGGAGTCAGGGAGTTTGAGTTGTCTTTGCATGCTCGAGTTAAAACACCTCAATGGAGGTTTGATGAGCTCGTGCTTGAGCTTCTCGAGGTTGTCCCTTTCGTGCTTTCTTTGTTACCTCAATGGCCTCGCCCAGCAGGCAAGCCTGGTGCATGAGCTTCTTTGGGATGCAGCCGACATTGACGCATGTGCCACCGAGGCCCCACGTCGAGCCCTGCGGCGACGGCTTGACGAAATCGAGCACGCACACTCGCTTGCCCAGCTTGGCGGCTTATTTGTTCATCGCATTGACAGAGACAGCGAGGAGCGGGCAGGGAAACAGGGGACGCGAGAACCGCAGTACCAAAAAAAAAAACGAGTGAGTGAGATTGTAACATGTGCGGAGCTGAGTGGGATTCGAACACTGGGCCGACAGAGCGACCCTTCGATCAGAGTGCGCCAAGTGGATCAAGGGCGATCAAAGCACCAGCGTCGTGGCTCATTGAGCGTGACTGTGAGCGAGGCGCGGGGGACTGACCTTGCTTGGAGAGCGCCAAACCGCCGCTGCCGCCGCCGACCACAATCAGGTCGTAGTCGTACCCAGTCGTAGATGGCGCTGTGAGCACGACGCAATGGAAGGGAAGGAAGGGAAGGGAAACGAAGGGAAGGGAAGGACCAAAACGATGAGCGAAACAATATGAGAAAAGTGAGGAAAAAGCTGCAAAAAGCAACGCGAATATTAGTGAACATTTAGTAGTGGAACGTTACTTTCAGCCATGACGACAAAAAGCAAAACAAAAAATGAAGCAGTGAGCTCAGAAGCGAATTTGTGCGAATTGAAACAAGGATCAGAAATACATGTACAGTATAATAACACGAGGGGTAAATGGGTTGGGGGGGTAAGTGAATACAAAATGACATCAATCGACGTCAAAGTTTCAGTACACCTGAAGATCGGGCTTGTTCACGAGCGAGTCAGGAGATATGCCATGCGCGAGCAGCGCCCGAACAAGCTCAACGTCGCCCGTAGCGCACGCCGCATGTAGCGGCGACATGTTGGTCTCGCTGCTCACAAGCGTCGGGTCGAGTCCGAACTGAAGCAAGCTGTCCAAAATGACGGTCGGAGCGTGCAGACCGGCTAGGGTGTTGATGGCATTTTCGTTGAAGGAGTTGATGTGATTCAGGTTGCACCCGAGCCGGTGCAGCACTTGCAACGTGTTGAGCACCTCCGCAGACGACGTTTCGGCGGAAATCTCGGCCACGCACGAGAACACTGGCGTGAATCCGAGAATGCTGCCAATGTTGAAATCAGCTCCAGCATCGTGCAAGAGCTGTAGAACGCCCGCGTTGAAGGTTCCGGCGGCAGCATGCACGGGATAGGCCGAAAACCGAGGCAACGCGCTGCCAATGTTTGGATTGGCTCCGTGCTTGAGCAACGCCCGAACCAAATCCGCATTCCGCGAGTTGCATGCCTGGTAGAGCGGAGTCAAGCCCCAGCTGTTCGTGTCGTTCATGTCCGCACCCAGCTGTCCTAACAAGTCGATGACCTCGGCGTCGCGTGTTCGGAAGATGAGCAGCTCGTTGGACGAATCGACACAAGCGACCAACCGCGCCATCTGCTCCGGCGCCTGTGCGATGAGTATCCTTAGGAATTCCGGCCCTCGTCTCACAGCAATCGATGCCATCTCGATATCGGGGAAGAGTCTTCGTGGAGCCAGCGATTTTCGGACTGGCACTCGACCGTCACTTGCTCCCTCGAGGCTCCCGGTCAATGTTAATCCAGCAACAGAGCTCCCTAGGGATGCCATTTCCGATGCTTGTGGCGGCATGGAGAGGATGAGTTGGAAGGTGGCGAGCGTAACGCGTGCCAGCACCTCGCGGACCATGCAATTGAACGGGCTTGCGGGGTCGTCCGCGGGCGAATCCTCCGGCAAGATGGCTCCTGCTTGCATCAATGCGTGTATTTCGTCCACATTGTTCCCGGCGATGGCTTGGCGGAGACGCTCGTTGAGCTGCTGCTGCTGCTGCTGCGTGTCATCACCACTCTCGTCGCCGCTCTCATTTTCGCCGTCGACGTGGGCGTCCGGCTCCAGCAGCCCTGCCTCATCGGCATCGGTCGCATCAGAGGCATTCTCGTGAGCCGGCAGAGGACGAGATCCAGCAGCGGACGCAGCATCATTGACGGTTGCCATTCGCGGTCCTTGTTGCACTTCTGAGCCAACCCACACACTCAGACTGCAAAGTAGACTGGTCTTCGAGGGGGTCTTGTACAAATTGCGTGATGAGGGATTCGTATTGCTTCCAAGTGATGTTGCCCGGTCGCTTTCCCTCATGAACCAGTGGCCACTCAGTCGAGCGCGACCAAATGATGATGATTGATCTACTCACTCACCCCGCCATTCGGCAGTTCAGCTCCGTGTTTCGCACCATCATTGATGCTCTGTAGATGTACATTATTGCTTCATTTAATTCCGTATTTGTAACAGCATCCAATTCACTCTTTTGTTTTCTCACTTTTCTTTGAACGCTCGCTTTCGCGCGTTTTTTTTTTTTTTCCCTCGCTTTTTATCGCTTTCAAAGCTCCTTTTGCTCACAAGGCCCCCCTCCCTCTCTCTCTCTCTCTCTCTCCTCACTTTCCTTTGTGCTTTGCTTTTCTGCTCTTCTCTTCTTCCATTTCCTTGCTGCACTCGGTCGAGACTACCACGACACGGCGCACGACCAACACATCAAACAGTTTTTGTTCTTGACCCTTTTTTTGAAACACTTCGTCCTTCCTTTCATTTTCAACAACCATGACTGACTTTTTCGATGGCGACTGGGAAAACGAGAACCAGGTATGTTTTCTTTTCTTCTCGCTCCCTACAACTTGTTGAATACTGCGGGGGGGAGGCGGAAGGACTGGCGGCGACGCGAGAAGCATCCGGTGTTTGGTTCCAAACGGTTTTCTTGTTTGGTTGATTCAAAATTGAAACAAAATTTGGCGCCAAAAAACAAATCCACCAAAACAGTTTCAAATGGCTGTTTGGTTTTTGAGCATGCTTTGCGTGAGGAGCAAATCATTGATGAACGTGAGACACGCTCTACACTCCATACAACCCACGGCAACAGAGTGAAGAGACCTCCGGGTTTGTGAGACTCGCACACTTCACCAGCCAACAACACAAACTGTCAAACCAATTTTTTGTGTTTTTCGAATCGCAACTGTTTTCGTCTCACACATTGGCCTGTTGCTCATTTTTCTTTGTCTCGGCTTGTTACAGTTGAAGACCACCGCCGTTAAGAAGGCAACCATCCCCACCAAGAAGGCCGCTGCGCCGCTGGGTGACGCAAGCTCGGCTAATGCCGCTGGCCCGGCCAAGAAGCTGACTGTCGAGGAGACGTACCTCAAGCTCGAGCTGCGCGATCAGATTCTGCTTCGTCCGGACACGTACATTGGCGGTGTTGCGACCGAGACGAAAAACCTGTGGGTTTGCAACGAGGAGGGCAAATTTGAAAACCGCGACGTCTCGTTCGTCCCTGGCCTGTTCAAGATTTTCGACGAGTTGCTCGTCAACGCTTCCGACAACAAGCAGCGTGACAGCAGCATGACCACCATCAGGGTGGACATCAACCAGGCCGACAACACCATTTCCGTCTGGAACGATGGCAAGGGCATCCCGATCCGCATGCACACCAAGGAAAATGTCTGGGTTCCGACCCTCATTTTCAGCCACCTGCTCACGTCGGACAACTACACAACCAACAAGAAGAAGACCACGGGTGGCCGCAACGGTTATGGTGCCAAGCTCGCCAACATTTTCTCGACCGAGTTTGTTGTGGAAACGCAAGACCACGAGACCAAGCAGCGCTTCAAGCAGGTCTTTACCAAGAACATGAGCCAATCGGGCCAGGCAATCATCTCACCGTCCGAAGGCGGCAGCAAGGGCGACTTTACGAAAATCACCTTCAAGCCCGATCTGTCGCGCTTCAAGATGGACTACCTGGACGACGACATTGTCGGTCTCTTCCGCCGTCGCGTGTACGACATTGCTGGCTGCATGCGTGGCCTCAAGGTCTACCTGAACGACAACCTCATCCCCATTCGCAGCTTTGTCGATTATGTCAAGCTCTACCTCCCCGACGCCCCGCTGAACTCGATTGCGCACGAGCGCGTGTCCGACCGCTGGGAAGTGTGCGTCACCGTCGCCCCCGATGGCCACCAGCAGGTCTCGTTTGTCAACGGCATCAACACGTACACTGGCGGCACGCACGTCAACCACGTCCTGGAGCTCATCTACCCGACCATCTCCAAGGCACTCAAGCAGCCCAAGGGCAACGAGATCAAAAAGCCCCAGATCAAGAACAACATTTCGATCTTTGTCAACGCCCTCATCGACGACCCAACCTTCAAGTCGCAGAGCAAGGAAGAGCTGTCCTTGTCGGTCAAGGAGTTTGGCTCCGAGTGCACCTTCTCCGACAAGTTTAACAAGGCTCTGCTGTCCACGGGCATCGTCCAGGCCATCTTGGACAAGAACAATGAAAAGCTGCGCAAGGAGCTTGACAAAATCTCGGGCCGCAAGAGCTCCAAGATCTCTGGCATTGCCAAGCTGGACGACGCGAACGAGGCTGGTGGTCGCAACTCTGCTCAGTGCACGCTCATCCTGACCGAAGGTGATTCCGCCAAGGCACTCGCCGTCAGTGGTCTGGGCTTGGTCGGCCGCGATTACTATGGTGTCTTCCCTCTGCGCGGCAAGCTGCTGAACGTCCGCGATGCTGCGCACCATCAGATTCGCGAGAACCAGGAAATTGAGCACGTCATCAAGATTCTCGGTCTGCAGTTCAACAAAAAGTACACTTCGGTGGAAGGTCTGCGATATGGCCGCCTCATGATCATGACGGATCAAGACAGCGACGGCAGCCACATCAAGGGCCTGCTCATCAACTTTCTGCATCATTTCTGGCCGTCGCTGCTGACTGTCTCTGGCTTTTTGGTCGAGTTCATCACCCCAATCGTGAAGGCGACCAAGGGCAAGCAGGTGCTCACCTTCTTCACCGTACCGCAGTACCAGCAGTGGCGCGAAGAGGACGATGGCCGTGCGTGCAAAGGCTGGACCATCAAGTACTACAAAGGTCTCGGTACCTCGACCAGCCAAGAGGCCAAAGAGTACTTTAGCAACATGGACGTGCACCAGATTCCGTTCACATGGTCGGGCGAGGACGACGGCCAGGCGATCGACTTGGCCTTCTCCAAGAAGCGCGCTGACGACCGCAAGGAATGGCTGCGCCAGTTCCGTGCAGGCACCTTCCTTGATCACCAGACCGAAGCAATCACGTACTCTGAGTTTATCAACAAGGAGCTCATTCTCTTCTCGATGGCCGACAACGTGCGCTCCATTCCGTCTGTGGTCGACGGTTTCAAGCCGTCCCAGCGCAAGGTCTTGTTTGCCTGCTTCAAGCGCAACCTGAAGGACGAAATTAAGGTTGCCCAGCTGGCTGGATATGTTGCCGAGCACTCTGCCTACCACCACGGCGAAGTCTCGCTTGCTGGCACGATTGTCAACATGGCTCAGAACTACACTGGCAGCAACAACATCAACCTGCTCCTCCCTCTTGGCCAGTTTGGCACTCGTCTGCAAGGAGGCAAGGACGCTGCATCGGCTCGTTACATTTTCACCAAGCTCGCCACGCTGACGCGCTTGATCTTCCCTGCAAATGACGATTCGCTGCTCAACTACCTGGACGAGGACGGCCAACGCATTGAACCCGAGTGGTACATGCCCATTCTGCCGCTGTCGCTGATCAACGGCTGCGAGGGCATTGGCACGGGCTGGAGCTCGTCGGTGCCCAACTTTTCGCCGCGGGACGTGGTGGCCAACATTCGTCTCATGATGGCTGGCCAGGATCCTGAGCCAATGTGCCCGTACTACAACGGTTTCACCGGCACCATCGAGCCTCTTGGCAAGGCGGATCGCTTCCGCGTCTGCGGCCGCATCACCAAGCTGTCAGCGACCACGCTCGAAATCACCGAGCTGCCGATCGGCGTGTGGACGCAGAGCTACAAGGAAGAGCTCGAGAAGCTCATGGAGCCCAACGAGAAGGACAAGACTCCTGGGTTCATCAAGGACTTTAGGGAAAACCACACCGACACCTCCGTCCACTTTACTGTGACCCTGTCCGAGGAGAACATGGCGGCGGCTGAGGCGATGGGCCTTGCCAAAAAGTTCAAGATTGACTCGACCATCTCGACGGCCAACATGGTGTTTTTCGACGCAGAGGGCCGCATTAAAAAGTACGACTCGCCTCAAGCGATTTTGCGAGACTTTTACGATCTGCGCCTCAAGTACTACCAAAAGCGCAAGTCGTGGCTGGTCGAGCGTCTGACCGAGGAGTGGACGCGTCTTGACAACAAGGTGCGTTTCATTCAAGCTGTCATCAAGGGCGACCTGGTGATTAGCAACCGCAAGCGCGCCGATCTGATGCGCGACCTGAAGACGCGCGGCTACACTGCCTTCTCCACGTCGACCAAGAAGATCAAGATTGCCGGTGCCATCGACGCTGACGACAACGGCGGCGCTGACGAGACTGCCGACAACGACAGCGACGACATTGTCCACACCAACGGCTACGACTACTTGCTCACGATGCCCTTGTGGAGCCTGACGCTCGAGAAGGTCCAGCAGCTCTTGGGCGAGCGCAGCGTCAAGGAAGAGGAGCTCAAGGTCCTCTTGGAGAAGTCGACGCTCACCCTGTGGTCGGAAGACTTGGATGCCTTCGAGGCCGAGCTCATTCGCGTTGAGGAGCAGGCTGCCCTCGATCAGGAAAACAACCTTGCCACTTTGAAGAAGGCCAAGAAGGGCTCTGGCGCCATCCGCAAGCCAGCTGCCGGCAAGGGCAAGGGTCCTGCCAAGAAGAAGTTCTCTGGCGACTCGGACGATGATGACGAGGACGACGCGATGGACTTTGACGATGACGATTTTGATGGTGCACCCAAGAAGAAGCCTGCTCCCAAGGCTGCTGCTTCGTCTGCTTCTTCGTCTGCCGCTGCTTCGTCGGCCATTGTGAAGAAGGCAACCGCCGCAGTCAAGGAGGCCAGCGTCGTGATCAAGTCCGCCGCCCCGGCTGCCCCCAAGGTCTCGGTGCCAAAGTCAAGCAGCGCAACAGCATCCAGCTTGGCCACAAGCAGCAGTGTCACCACCAGCGCCAAGACTGGCATCAGCGCTCTGGAGGACGACAACTTTGTGCCGCTGGCTGCGCGCCTCGCGATGAGCTTTGGAGCCGCCAAACCCGCAGGAGCTTCTGCTGTGTTGGCCTCGTCAGCTTCGCTGGGCGGCAGCAAACCTGGTGTGGTGCGCGCTCATAGCCCCGCAAAGCCAGCGAGCACGACTGCGATTGAGGGCGCCTCGCCCGCCAAGAAGAAGGCTCGCACTGCAGCAGCTGCGACCAAGCCCAAGCCCAAGACTGCTCGCAAGTTGGTTGACTCTGATGACGACGACGATGCGAGCGGAGACGAAGAGGCGGATGCGCCAATGTCGCCCCCTGCGCGTGTCATTGCCAAGCCTCGCCGCGCTGTCGCTCCCAAGAACTATGCCATCATGGACCAGGATGATGATGCGCACGACGACGACGACGATTCTTTGATCATTGGCAGTGATGGCGAAGATGCAGCACCGGCCAGCAAGCGGGTTGTCAAGCCAGCAGCTGCCAAATCTGCACAGACCAACCGCAAGAAGGCTGTGGAAAGCGACGATGACGACGATGCCTTTGACGCCATCAGTGACGACAACGACGAAGACGACGATGCGGACAACTGGGATGCCAGCGATGACGATGACGGCGCAAGCAAGAAGAAGGCCAAGAAGCCGGCCGCTGCTCCCAAAAAGGCAGCGCCAAAGGCCAAGCCTGCAGCTGCCGCGCCAATCGCCAAGGCCACCTCGACCATTGCTACCATCAAGCCTGCTGCTGCACCCAAGCCAAAGGCTGCACCTGCACCAAAGCCGGCCAGCAAAAAGAAGGCCGTCGAGAGCGACGAGGATGAGGAATTTGACGACTTGATGCTGAGCCCCAGCACCAGCGCCTGCACCTGCGTCCCGAGCGCGTCGACCTGTTGTCTCGAAAAAAGTATGTGATTTGATGATGACGGATGAGGGACGACGACGACGACGACGCCCGCCCGTTTCCCGATTTTGACGACCGATGATGATTAAAAAAAAAGCTCCCTGTTTGACACCAATGGTTGAGGTTTTGTAGGAGGTTGTAAATTGGTTTGGCTTTTTGTGGTGGATTTCCCCAATAGAATTTACCTAGTAGTTTAAGTATTTCTTCCCTTTTTTGGAATGGAAAAGTTGCGTGTCGGCCCGGGGGTTGGAGACAACTTCGTGTTGAAAAACTGCAGGCAGGGCTCGATGACCTTGGCAAGCAACTTTGTTCCAACAATC